TTAAGTATTTTTTTGTTGAGAGCTTTAATGTATATAGCTTTTGATGACTCATTTTTCCATCAACTGTTCCTGGCTTGAATTTGAATTGAAGGGTGTATAATTCCACTCGAAATTAAGACCCTTTCAACCTCTAGAATTTACCTGCATCGAGTGAAGTGCCAAAAATCGTAAAAGCTTTTGAGCGATATGCACAATAGTCAATACCATGCATGCATTGTTTATCTGTCAACGAAAATTTAGTTAAGTGTAATGCAAAAGAATACTCTATATATGGCATATGAAAAGTTTGACCTCTGCATGCCAGGTTTTTGAATGACACTTTTTTTATTTATTTTAACAGCATAATTGGTGCTATTATTTACGAGATACTGTTTCATACAAAAAACATAGTTCTAGAAAACAGCATGAATTTCTAGTACTTTAGTGAAAACAGATGCAACAAGAGCTAGTAGCTCCGGACGTAAACATTTTCCGTTTGACTAAAGTATACAGTCGAAAAATCGAAATAAATGTTACGAAAATGTTTATATTTTAAGTTAACATTGCTGTGAAAAATTCCATGAATTATACCAAGTCTTGTGACCAAAAATCTTTATTGTTCGTTTCCCTGTGTTGTAAAACCTATGATGAAATAAGGGCGTGTTTCCAACGTCAAACTTTTGCTATGCAGAAGTATTAAAACAATATGAACTTTTAGAGAATGACGTGAAATGTTTCTATTGAGTATTGTTCTCTAATGTATATCCGGCTAATTAAATTAAATTAGATTAAGAGTTTGTGCTTGTTTTCAGAAAATCGTAGGTAAGTCGTACAATAAATAGTGTTGGCTTTGTACTTACAAAGGATGCATGTACTTACAAGGAATTGCTAAATCGTTCGTCAAAAGATGAGCGCGATTTTGTAGCCTAAAAATGAGATATTCAGAGATTCCTTTTCAGAGGTGGATTTGAACAATTTTGAGCCAGTTCAGATTTTCGTATATATTTGCATTTTCGATATTTCCTGATCTGTATTTAGACTGGAAACGATGCGTTACGACGTACGTAGAGACAATATCAAGATTCCAATAGTCTCTTCCGAATTCCAATTGATTAGTTAAGGTCATTTTATATCGACTTTGTGTGGCCAATGTTTGTGAATGCAGTGACCATATATAGGGTAGATAAACTACGTGGTTTTTTAGTTATTATTCGATCGACTGGGTAACCGTAGAAAGAAACGAGTTTTCCGGCGCGGTGGTTGTAACGATTGGCGAGTTTGATTGCTCGTAAGGTAAGTATATCACAGTATTTTTACCGCTTCACAAATATGCAACTTATTAGTTATTTTGTATTTACATTTGCCAGTTTAGGAAAGTGTCGCGGATATATTGGTTTGCGGTTGAAGTACAGAGATTATCGCTGGTAAGTTTTTCGAATCGATGTTGTAATAAATTCAGAACGCAGACCAAGGCTGGATTTCCACTTGCAGGAAAATGAGAAGAGTAAAGCTGAATTAATTAATTTGTTTATTTATTCTGTCAAAATTCCAAAAAATATATGGAAATATTTCGATCTAGCGAACTGTTTCTCTACAAGTGGAAATACAAACTGACTGCCGAGAATTCTCCCACTAAATCCTATTATTTCTTCGACTTTGACGAAAGCGTTTGTAAGTCACGTTGTCGGCACTCGGCATAAATTTTACGCTGTCTGTTCATGAAAAGTGATGTGTGTCGCGTGACAGAATTTATCAATTCGTTTATACTGAGAACTATTGCCCACGCTTGCGATTAGCGTTGATTGAAAGTATAACTAAAAAAATCCAGTCGGTTCGTGTTGACATCAATCATTTAAAATTGATCAAAGATCTCTTTCGCTTTACAAACTAGTTCCTAATCCTCTTTAGTCTTTACCGCACTTTTAGACTTGTGACGACGTCACAACAGAATAGTTGCAATCTAGGATTAAATACGGTTTTCGCTCAATTTCGAAATGAAATTTAACAAATAACAACGATTAAACGTCAAGTCCTACCCATTATTACAAATTTCGAAAGATTTCCAAAACTCGAAAATATTTACATTACAATATTTACATAGGTTTTAATTTTTCAATGTCGATTTACTGTTATTTACTGTTATCACAGGTTATTACCGCGACACATCTATGTACAATAATACAATTACTAATGACATGTGTCGGCAGAATTTGAAAACGCAAAAAATTTTTATCCGCGTCCACACGTAAACACAAAAACGATCCGAAAACGCTAAAGTTATATGATCCTGCAATAAACCTTCATGTTCTCCACCCGCGTGTCACAAGTTGGATGTCGAATTCAAAGCAAAAATCTACCAAAACCAAAGTAAAACACAAGAATGAGGACTTTCGGACAGACGACAAGCTCGAACTCATAAATGTTGTTGTTGAAGTATCTATTAAATGCATGTCGTGTATAAGAAATTGTGTATAACCATACTCCGACATTTTGGACATGTTTCTCTCGTAAAATACTTCCGCAAATGCTAAAAGAATTGGCGAAGATTTTACTCACCATGAAAATAACCTAAATAAGACTTATTTGAGGCTAATACAGCAATATAAAATTGAGATTAAGCCAGCAGACTTGAAACAAGCCTCATTAATATGGAAACGACTTGATGCATGACGTCATCGTTTTCAAATTTATCCGGCAAAGCTCTCCACACGTATCCGCTTAGCCGTCGTTTTCAAATTCTTCCACTCTGGAGAGCGTTTTCATATTCTTCCGTTTTCAGTGGGCGAAAACGCCGTATACGTGTGGACGATACGCGTAACCGTGGGAATATTCTTGCGTTTTCAAATTCTTCCGGCATCGTGTGGAAACATTGTGTAGTGTTGTTTTAGGTAAATTATAGCGCGTCGTAACCTGTAACTTTTACACATCTTAAAAGCCCAAGCGAAGCGAAGCCAACTTTAATCTTTAAGTGGTCCGCATCTCGTTGATAGATAGATATACAGGGTGTCCCAAAAAAAAGCAACCACTTAAATATGCAGAACATTAACACAGCTCTAAAGCGCAATAGATAAGCACCTCTGGGAATTGAAAATGGCTCTTAATCCTTCATTTACAATGCTAAAAGTCATTTTAGCTGAACTATGGTGCAAACCCGAACAATTTTAATATTCTTGCATATTTAAGTGGTTGCGTTTTTTTTGGGACACCCTGTATATAGATATAGATATAGATAGATAGTAAATTCTGTCATTCTTCTAAACCGTCGTTCATTGTTTAAAGCGTCGCCACAGCCTGAAATTGTGTTTATAAAGCCCTAAACTAATTCCACGGCCTAAATTTTCAAACGAAATGCGAAATATTTCGCCTGCTTTTTTGGAATGTTAGCAATGAAGCAGAATTAATTTAATCAAGTGGTCGAAATTCAAAAGAAACAGGCGAAATATTTCGCATTTCGTTGAGAAAAAGTGCCCGTGGAATTAGGCCCTAACGTTTCTGAATTGCGTTTATACATTTCCAAAACTCTTCAATAATTAACATCACTTCAAAGACACACTGGGTTTGCCGTTTTGCAAGTTGAAAGAAAAATTTCATCGTGTGAAATTGGGTTTGGAATTGATTAATTCAGGCATACAAGTAATGCCTAAAATTTATGTTGACATTGAAAGCTTTTAGAAAAAAACTAAGATTCACACGATTAAAATTGTGGATAATACACCTCTATACACACGTTATGCATGCATGCACGATCAGATAAAGATAATGGATCCACATGTTGTCTGAAAAGTACGTGAACAACAAACGATTCGACAGATAAAATACTTCATGCCAATATTCAATAAGATACATGCAGCATGCATGCAGGCCAGGCAATATCGCCTTCCATCGCATTCGCTAAAATATATAGATGTTTGTAACCTTTATATTCGTCAAAGCTGAGTGTCTACAATTGCATTTGAAATGTTAAGTTTTAATTCATATTTTGTATGATAATGTTTTCATTTTTTGTATAACCGACAGGTGATAATTAGGGTGGCTCGATAGGAATGTAATACTTTAGGATTTCTTCCCTTTAAAAAGGTTGACAGCGTAAAATTTTCTTTTTTTTTAGGTAATTGCCCCAGCCTAAGTGCTGACTGCTGAGTAACGAAAGCATTAGTGGCCACAGTTTACCAGGGAACCGGCGAGGAGGAATCGGTGTTCTAGTTGCGAAAATCTATTTTGCATAAAATTTCCAAAAGGTAATTTGTCTAGAAACGTTGGAAGTTTCAAACTTTATTATAAGCATCGTTCACTGGACTAAGACTGTAACTGTGCAATATACTCAGAAAGAAGTACAAATCTACGGTCAAACGTTTTAGAGGAAAAAAATGCTCTTTCCATAATTCATTCCTATAGTAAGCCATCTTTACTAGACTTCCTGTTGAGAGCCGACATAATAGTCGACAATGGGTTTTTTTGAAAGATGTTTTTCTCCGATACAACCAGATTAATTCAAAGCATACTGCTGTGGTTGGTAAAAAAACAATTTAGTTTTAGCTCAAGGCTTAAATCATAGTTCTATCGCAACATAACAAGCATTGCTTTGACGTCGCAACCGGCAGCTTGCATGAGTAAACATACTTTATTCGCACGATTTTTCAGCGTCCTATTCGCTGCCACTGGGCTGGAATGCAATTATAAATTGTTTATGCCGACGTTTTCACTGTGATAAATAATATATACATGCCAACATGGCATAAAAAACGTAATAGTCGCTTTCCACTGTTAAAAAACAACCAGTGTAGTTAACAAAAATATTTACATTCTAGAATTTAGAAAAGACCTTTTGCTATATTGGTTATAGCCTATAGTATATATATTTTTAATACGTATTCATATCCTTATTAATAATATTGCCTTAACTCTACCCTAGTTTACTTTTGAAGAGTTCGCTTGCATTGTATGTGAAATGTAAATATTAAATTCTTCTGACGTATGGAATATAGAGCCAGTGACATTGACATAAGCCGTTATTTTGTTACGTTGTTTTGCAGCTTAACATTACACGCGAGTAATCCACCGAAAACATCCGTCACAAGTCGAATAGGTATAATCCGACAAATATTGGATCCAGTGAAACCATTAAGTTCGAGATAGGAACTCGTATGCTGTGTTTGACGATCCACTGATTTTAATAAACATAACTTGCCGACGAACGGCAGGTGAGTGTAAATAAATTCACACATTTCCCAGACCCAATACTCGTTGCCTGTGTGATACTGAATAGAAACTGGCAGTCGTTCAAATATTTTTACCACAAAAAATGTTATCCGACTTTATAAAACATTTGACGGGATTAGTCAAAAAGATTTATGACACGCGAGTAAAGTTTCTGATAGTTTTAAACAGCCGTCTGGTATGTTCTGAGCTTGAGGAGTTATTGACTGTTAGAAACAATTTTTTTAATCATCACGATGCTTATTTTGAGAATGTTTCTTTGTAACTTTTCACATACGATATAGTTGAATTCTAATGTTTTAGAACTAAGCTCTCAAAGTTGACTACAAAAACAACCACAGTACATAGCTTTTCGCCTTTGAATTTTCTTATCAGCATTGTATGTTTGACTTCTGTATTTTGAAAACAAACCGTATTATACAAAAGGCTATTTGGTTTTAATCTACCTGCATGCTCTAAACTCTAAAGGCATTTGATAGAGCTTAACGGATTACAACTCGTCCGCGTGTGGTTCAAGGTTTACAGTTTTTAAAGGACATATACAGCCTTTATTGAAATAAGCTGTGAACGTTTGAGTTTCACTTGGATAAAATGGCATGGTATCGTTTTCCGGTTTTACGTTCGTACGAGTCCGGTTTTCAAATCCATCTTTCTCAAAAAGATTATGATAATTTTCATTTTTCTTAATTAAAGGAAGATTATACAGTTGAATGGTTGCAGTTCTAATTACATTATCCTGTATCGCGTTTCAGCTTAGCGTTTCTCATCTGAAATCCCGCCACTGAAGATTCGGAGGTATTTTTCGCCACGGGAAACGAGAAAAAATTTATCTAATTTCCTGGTGCAAAGGAGGCTCGAATAGCGTTCCAAGTGGGTCGATTATTTTCACAAAAAGCGATCCGAAGATTCGTCATGGCACTCGCGAACCGAGGTGCGGATGTCGAAGTTGAGATGGACCCGAAAGGCGAGTCGCTGGTCAAAGGCACCAACTTCGCTGGGAATAAGAATTTTGGAATATTTTCAATTCGTACTCAGATGGAAAAGATCTTACTTGTCGTTGCGGCGATTTTGCTGATTCTGTGCATCGTTTTTATTGCGCTTTTGGCGAAAGAAACTGCGGATAACGATAGCTCTAAAGCATCGACAACTGGTGGCCGTGAAGGTAATTAGAGTTCAATTTTTTTTCTGATCGGGAATGTAGCTGCATGTATTCAGATTCAATGATTTTGTTTCAACCTTTTGCACATTTTCTTCGCGGTAGCTATTTTTCGTCGCGGCCGGCAACTCTGCATCTCATGCTATGAACAATCGCGGTGTGGTTTTGTTAAAGTCGAGGAAACTCATCGATATAGTTTCAGTATCGAATGGTATTTGATAGACGCAAATGAAAAGGAGCGATGACCCACGGGGCTTTGACGATTTCAGTGCGCTTATATTTTCTGTCTTAGTGTCCGTTTAAACCAGAAGAGGCCGAACAAAATGGCAGCAATATTTATTAATCAACTGAAAAAATGCTGACTTAATCACTGATCCAATTCACACCTTGGTAAACATAAATTAAAGTAATTCGCCAATTCTATTTCAATTTTCAAATCGAATACGAAACTTCAGCTGCACATAGACGCGAATTGCGCAAGAAATTCGTTACCTTCTGCTTTTACTGTTTTTAACGCTTCATTTGTGACATATTTACATGTACTTGTGGGGATAAGTCTTGTACCGCGCGCTCTCTTACTAACGGTGTTTGAAACGGAATAGATTTCGCGTTATCCTATTTCCGATTGTGAAGCCAAAACTTTTCTGTTTTCTTAACACTTTCCGCGGTGTCGGCAGCCTGAAGTTAGGCCCGAAAGCAAAGGTTATTGTAGAGGCCAAATTCGCAAGTAAACAGGGTGAGAACTATTATCACCCACCAGAGATAATCGACCCGTAGACCAGAATATAGGTTGATCAAAACTTCGCAGATCAGAGAAGACTTTTGTTTTCGGAGATTATTATTTGAAATATCCATGCAATATTCGGTGAAGTTTTTGCCGCATTTTTGCGCAGCTGTTAACGCTAAAATTCAAGATAAATTTGCATGTGGTTGCTATGGTTTTTCGTAACTAGATAATAATTCTCTAAATGGCGTGACACGTCAATGAATAGTTGGAAATAGAATTCACGAGTTAGCGCTGCGCTTTTCATCTTTCAAACCGATCGCATATTCTTACGCAAGTATCGGGCTAGGTAATGCATTAGAAACGCATCAACGGTCATAAAATTGATATATCCCCAGTGATAACAATCTAATATGGCACTTCATTTAAAAAAATGAGAAGTCATTTTACGAACGTAAAGCAGATTATCATATAAGAAAAAAGAGAACCGCTTGAAATTATATTTGTTCTTATACCCGTTCGTCATTGCTATTTTTCCTCGCTTTTTTTTTCAGAAATGTTCGTTTGTCATTATTGCTAAAGCACGTATATTTGTTTTGGGAAGTTAGCTGAGTCATGCGTTCTGTCATTGTTGATTAGGAGACAAGCTCTTGACTTGAAATCACGCGATTACACGAGCGATTTTCTCGTTTTATTCCGAATTATTCGTATGTTGTTTTGTGAATTATGTACGCAGTTGTGTAAGCTTTGCGAAGGAAGGTGTAACACTGTAACCTATTCTGTGTTTACTCAGTTTACTCAGGAAACGAAAATCGCCCGTGTAGCTGGGGCTTTGTATAATATAGGAAGACAATTTGTGGTTGGTTTCAGGGATACATGTTCATACATGCTTAGCATTTACTAAATTATAACTTTAGGAAAATAACCTAAACAAACAGATAATAAGTCTTTCGTCAAACATGTTTTCATGCGTGGGAAACATTGGCATGGTCGCATGTATATTAAACAAATATTTTTAAAAACAGCAGGGCTCTTTAAATCATCTTAAGTTATGCCGTGTACGCATGTTTTATAACTATACATACTCCTGCAACATAAATTATTTTGTGTATAGAATAATGGGTTTAAAACGGCCGGTTGTACCATGATTCTTCGAGTTATCATCATGCAGGTTTCAGAGATTCAAATGTAAGCGATAAAACGTGTCTGATCATGAAACGCGAAAAAATGGAAATATTTGACCTTGGATGGGTCACCCCACTGAGGTGATGACGAATGATGTTACACATTTGGTTCTTATCTGAAATGTGTTGCTTTTCGTTTAAACTCTTCGAACACAAGTATATTGTACGGCACCGAAATTTTCGTTAGCAAAATTTTAGAAGGTGATGAACACTTAAAATTAGTTCGGTGGTCTGCATGGATACTTAATCATATACGTTGTAACACAATATACTTTAAGGTGTCATTGACAGAATTGTCAGGAGGGCTTTTATTTTTGAAGCTTCCAACTCTAATAACACAGAGCCATCCAGTATAAATAAAGTTTGTTTTGTTTAGGTTTCCTCTTGTAGTAACACTGGATCAATAAGAGATGATCCTTACTGGACCTCTAGGAAAAACAGTTTAGAACTGATAGAGCTATCCAGTATGAATAAAGTTAGTTTAGTTTAGGTTTCCTCCTGTAGTAACACTAGATCAATAAGAGTTGATCCTTACTGGACCTCTAGGAAGAACAGTTTAGAACTGATATAGAGCTATCCAGTATAAATAAAGTTAGTTTAGTTTAGGTTTCCTCCTGTAGTAACACTGGATCAATAAGAGATGATCCTTACTGGACCTCTGGGAAGAACAGTTTAGAACGGATAGAACTGCCCAGTATAAATAAAGTTAGTTTAGTTTAGGTTTCTTCCTGTAGTAACACTGGATCAATAAAAGATGATCCTTACTGGACCTCTAGGAAGAACAGTTTAAATAGATAATTTTCCTGCCCATTTCCGGACAATGCAGCTGTAATCAATTTTGCAATCTTCGATTAATCTGTTTCCTTGCTCGGAGATATTTAATTTAGTTTAAATTACGTGCGACATTGTGTAACAGGGAGCCAGATAATCTGTCAATATATTGCCAGCGTAGTTCAAGAGGTGTATGTAAAAAAAACGTTCATCTCGCAAGTTCGTGAGAACGTCTCATGCAAGATGGCCATTTCATGAACGGGTTAAATATATTCAAGTGCTTTTTGTGTGAGTCGACTCTCCTGACGAAGGCCCTCAGGTCGAAACGTCGAGAAGTGTTCTGTTTACTTTAGGCAGTTGTTATGCCACATTTGATGCTAACGCCTCTTACAGACGAGCAAGTTTTCTATGATAAGTTTTTATATATATAACGAGTTTTAATTGGCAATTGCACGTGTGTATGCACGACAAAATGTTCTATGACAAGTTTTTCTTTGACAAGTTTTATTTGCTCGTGGGACAAGGTCTTGTGTTAGAAAAAATTGTCAAAGTTGGGTGCACAGACGAACAATTCAAACTTGTCACATAAAAACTTGTCATAGAAACTTGATCGTCTGTAAGAGGCGAGGCTTGTTTGAGGACGCTGCCACGCTGCCTCCGAGTATATATTCAATACGTTTTCTGTCAAAGATATATATATATATATATATATATATATATATATATATATATATATATATTTATATATATATATATATTTATATATATATAATATATATATATATATATACTATCACGGCAACTATCATAGCGCGACATTTAAATTCACCTGATGAGTGTGGCAAGCACTGCTTGTTATACGAAACAAATTTGTAGTGAATGAAATCATATGAAGTAAACCATTTTTACTGAATTTTATTCCCGTTTTCTCGAATTTTATTTATATATATCGCCTCAAAATTGTTTAGCTAGCTTTTAGCCTGTCGATACAGTTTGCTCATAGCATGATACACATCACTGTCATATGGCATCATGCTACATACAAAAACCGCTCGCCCAAAGCTTGCTAACTTGGCGCTGATAGCATGTCTTTGAATGGGGTGCAGTTAAAAGACGGGTGCGGATGTGCGGATGAGTATTCTTAAAGCACGGCTCAACGGCAACAGGGCTTTTTGAATCTTCAGTCAAGTGGATGTGGTCCGTCCCTCTGAGATATAAATCAAGCTGAATGATTCGTAGTATTCAGTTTAGTAACTCGAACTTCAAACACTTTCTATGAGGTCGGACTTATAAATGTGCAGGTTTTCAACAAAGGCCTTGGCTTATGAATTATGTAAATATTTCATTCCTTGACGTTGATTTCTTTCATTTCAGCCCAAACGACTGCTGAACCAAACCAAACCACATCAAAGCCTACCGCAATGCCCTCGCCAAAGCCTACCACCAAGCCTTCAGGAAAGTACGTCTATTCCGATGAAGCTCAGCGTATTAAGTTTCCTGACTTTTTGAAGAGGGTTCAGGACACTTATTACGAGTATAATCGTGACCAGTTTGCCTGGCAGTCCCATAAAAATGTTGCAGAAATAACTGATGATTTGAAAACTAGGTCAGTTCCATGATTCTTTTTCGTTTGTGCTAGTTATATTTGTTTGTTTTTAACAGCTGAAGCGATAAATAATCTTTTATCCTTTTCGTTCTAAACGGTTCGTCTCCTATTCTTCCAGTGTTACTACAGGAGGAAGCCTAAACTAAACTAACTTAATTTATACTGGATAGCTCTATCAGTTCTAAACTGTTCTTCCTAGGAGGTCCAGTAAGGATAATCTCTTATTGATCCAGTGTTACTACAGGAGGAAACCAAAACTAAACTAACTTTATTTATACTTGATAGCTTTATCAGTTCAAAACTGTTCTTTCTAGAGGTCCAGTAAGGATCAACTCTTATTGATCTAGTGTTACTACAGGAGGGAAACCTAAACTAAACTAACTTTATTAATACTGGATAGCTCTATTAGTTCTAAACTGTTCTTCCTATATAGGAGGTCCAGTAAGGATCATCTCTTATTCTACAGGAGGAAACCTAAATTGAACTAACTTTATTTATACTGGATAGCTCTATCAATTCTAAACTGTTCTTCCTAGAGGTCCAGTAAGGATCATCTCTTATTGATCCAGTGTTACTACAGAAGGAAACCCAAACTAACTAGCTAAAAACTGCACTATGCTCGTTTCTAAATCTTCGTCTTAAGCTCATTCTATACGATTCATCAGATATAGTTATTGGTCAGCAATATAAGCCCCGTTTACACAACACTGGATTTATTGGTACGGCACGGCTAAAATGGGTACCCGTGCCCATTTCATCTGTGCTCGGCCTTTGTTTTGGTAGCCTGAATGCCAATAAAATTGGGCACGGGTACCAATTTTAGCCGTGCCGTGCCAATAAATTGAGTGTAGTGTAAACGGGGCTATAGACCCAGTTCAGGTGGTACTTTTTAAATCGAATCGCTTGGTTAAATTTATATACTTGTGCTTTTAAGACATCTGGGCATAACAATGCAACTCCAGCGTATCTCAAAGCAAAAACAGACGCTGCGTTTAAGCTCCGAAGAAATCAACTCAACTGCTTTGGATGAAAACTTGATGACGCCACGCAGAAGTTAAAGCCCTTGAACAGGTTCGTTTTCGAGAGTAAGCGTCATAGTTCAATAAGTTCATGCATGGACTTTGCTATTGTGTTTTATTATGTAGTTCTATACTAGAATATCTATCCTTCTCAAGAAAAGGAGAGGAAAATTTCACTGAGCATTTCGATAAAACAGGCGAATACAGCCTTAGGATTGTCAAGATTTTCTATGGATTTAAAAACGAAATCTGACTGATTTCTTTGGCCACAAAATCCACGCCAGTAGCCATAATACGTTGTAAGAGCAATGAACTGTAAGGCTGAATTCCACTTGCAGAGAAATGGTTCCCTAGCGAAATACTTGCATATTTTCATTTGCTATAAGAACAATCAAGCTGAACGAACTTATTTATCCTGTTCAGTAAAATTCAAAAGAAAAATGTAAATATTTCGCTAGCGAAACCTTTCTCTGGCGAACCCTAAGTTGTTTAAACCTTCGTTTATACGGCGTTCGTTTATTTTTTAGGTTAAACATTTCCTCAGAACTGTATTCGGGGCTCCTTTTGACGAAAACTTTTACAATGGCGATTGGATGCTTGGTCCTAATCACTTTTGTTGGCAGGCTATTTGTTCCATTGCCTATGACATCAACGCTTATGCCTTCTACATCAGCCCCACGAACTTTAGCGATGCTGAAAAAATGATCCAAAAAATTTTGGCCAATAAACAATCCATCTTGCAGTACAAGTAAGAGTTGAACAATTAAACAATAGCCTGTATTCAGGAAAGTTCCCGGAATTGAGAGCACCGGTTTCTATATTTGCAGTATACAGTATCCTGTATTTTGGCGATGTTCAAGATATATGTAATGTTTTCGGCGTATCACTTAAAAATCACTTTATGGATGCCTCGATGCCTTAATGAAAAGCTCTGAGGCCGGTTGTATGAAAGCCGGATAGCGCTATCCACCGGATAGTGTTTTTTTCAATCGCTTCAAAATCGCTCGTTATTTGCCACAACTTTGATGAAATCTTAGTATTCTTAAATCGAGGATCCTCTTTAATAATTGTTAATAATTGTTAATAATTGATAATAAATTTTATCGCTTTTCGAGCATTTTTAGAACGGTTGAAAAAATCACTATGGTGGATAGCGCTATCCGGCTTTGATACAACCGGCCCCTGTTCTCGCGATTTATCAAATTTAACGTATAAGTTTATGTTTGTTTTTATACAATATCGCTGTCATGTCAAATTTTAACGCCTTTATTCAAAACGTCCACCTACACTTACACTTTTTGAGTGTGACATAAAAATTATGTTATTCTTGATCAATGAAAAAGTGTTTTCATAATCAAAGGGAAGATTTAAGGTAAACAACTGAAAATCAAGCTCTTATTCGAGTGCAAATACCACAAAGGAATCGCTATGAAGTAATTGAGATCTTTCGCTCAATGAGTTTGAGTGTGAGTGAGCTTTTAGAATACATGCAGGCGTTAGATTTCATGCACTGCATGTTATTGCAATTATTTCGTTGTTTTACTTAGGTCAAATATGCAACTTGGTGTGAAAACTGGTATGGTTCGTTCCAAATTTAATTGTATTTCTGGCATTGATGCGTTTAAACAAGAGTTCAAAAAAATTTCAAGCGAAAACGATCCTGCCGACGTACTGCAGGAGTGGTTTGTGAAGTATTACATCAGAGCTGAGTTTACAAAAGATTTTTCTAAGAATGACCAAAACAAATGGATGGCTAAATATGGTAAAACGTTTCAGCAATCTGTGAATGACAGTTTGATAGAAGGTAGGAAAGTGCAAGATCATACTCGTAAGATATGAAAAAAAGGGATTTAAGAAGAAGAGTTTAGATACTACAGAAGGAAAACTAAACTAACTTTATTTATACTTGATAGCTCTATCAGTTCTAAACTGTTCTTCCTAGAGGTCCAGTAAGAATCATCTCTTATTGATCCAGTGTTACTACAGGAGGAAACCTAAACTAAACTAACTTTATTTACACTGGATAGCTCTATCAGTTCTAAACTGTTCTTCCTAAAGGTCCAGTAAGGATCATCTCTTATTGATCCAGTGTTAATACAGGAGGAAACCTAAACTAAACTAACTTTATTTACACTGGATAGCTCTATCAGTTCTAAACTGTTCTTCCTAAAGGTCCAGTAAGGATCATCTCTTATTGATCCAGTGTTAATACAGGAGGAAACCTAAACTAAACGTACTTCATTTATACTGGCTCTATCAGTTTTTAACTGTTCTTAATTCCTGGAGGTCTAATAGAGATCATCCCATATTGACTTAGTAGGCTTCAATCCAGTGTTAACACGACTAATTCGGAGATAATATGTTTGCAGGTATTGGCCAACCTGTCGTTGATCTGATTCATTACATGGAGAAAGTCCACCTTAGGCATTGTCTTCCAAGGGATGTGGCTAGCGGTATAGCAGAACTTCCAGTTGATTTCATCTACTTTGATGGAAATGTAACAGCGAATTCTACGACAAAACGTTTGCCGATAACAAACGATATACTGGATGGAAAGAAATCTTACAAGAATATTCTACCTTACTTCACCACCAGCGATATTACGCCGGAAAGAATCAACGAAATTGGTCATGAAAGATTGAATGCTTTGTATCCGCAGGTATTTGTAATATGTTGTTGTTTATTTGCTTCTGTTTGTTTGCTTGTTTATTTGTTTACCTGCTTTCCTTAATCCGGACCGGTTCTCCGGCTGTCCAGGGACACGTCCATGGCTGTTCAAACCCTACGAATTCTTTCCTTCAGGTGATCGAAATCGCAAAGGCTGTAACGAATATCTCCGATGAAGCGAATGCCATCAAAAGTTTCCGAGAAATTCTCAGCAATCAATCGTCCTATTACAACGATGCTCCTTTCCCGGAAATTGAATCAAACGGCACTGCCCATAAGCGTTGCACCGACGAGGATAAAGCGAAAATATACTGCCCGAAACGCTATGAATCTTTGTTAAAATGGAAAGCAACGTGTAGAGAGACCATGAGCATGCTCTCTCCAAAGCTCATACCATTGTTTTATCACACTGGTGATAAAATAACCGTACCAAACTGCCCGATTGATATGCTCCCGAGTTTCAATCCTTCCTCAGGCGCGCAGTTTTTCCAGCAGGCCGACGCTAACTGCAAGAGGTCGGCGAAATTTGGACTGCCGTTTTTCTTAGAGAATCATGGACCACGATTTTCTGAATGGTCCGTGACGGCTCACGAATCGTGGCCTGGTCACCATACACAGATACAAGGTAAGATTTGCTTCTAACTCTAAAGCCTGGTTTCCATTTAGTTGTAATTGTCGTGAACATGTCATTTTCACCGATGAGAAATTGTGGGGATGTAAATTCGTCTTCATTCCTGTATTCAAATCTGTCATTGTTGACTGCAGACGTATAGAAATGTTCTATCACATCAGCCAACTTGACATGTTCACGACACTCACGACTAAATGGAAACCAGGCATTAGCGACATTGAACTGGAGAGGAGAACAAGGCGAAACCAGTTCAGCTAGCCTTCCACAGTCTTAAAAAATCATAATACAAGTGCAATTGTCCATAACAAAAAAGATGGCGAGCGTATATTTTACCAGAATGCATTGCGGTCGGAAATCGTTTAAAAACGCGAACTGACGTCTTTTAAAGGACAGGCATAAAACAGAAAGTTATTTTCTTTGCTGTGTTAAAATTTCACATCATTAGGAGTTTTTCTTGCCATCTTTTTTCAGTCAATCATTTTTAATGCATGCAATGCATTCTGGTAAAATGGACATGCCGCTATCTTTTTCGTTACGGTCAATTGCCAATTCATACTCACCTATAGTGTTGCTGTCGAGCATGCATGCTTACATTGTACATTTCTCGATCTTCTGGTAACTTCTCAAGATTATATTTACTTTGAATTATTCTGTGCGGAGTTTCTATGCACACGAATCAAACTATACGTTCTCCTAAATGCAAGAACTTCACACGCGTTTTTTTTGCGATTTTTTCAGCTCAAATTGAGTATTTCAAGGATAAATATGGCGGTGTTCCAAAATGGATCGACGATAAGACATACTACACGTTCTTCACCGAAGGATGGGGCTTGTATTCAGAAAACCCTGTCATCGCTAAAGATACGAACACTTATGATGGCCAGCTGATGCAGAAATTTGGCATGTTGAAGTGGCAGGTAATAAAGATCGTTTGTGTTTTAACACTCCTTGTTTTGTTGGGAAGGAAAGTGATACGTCAAGTAATCGTTAAAGAAATGAGAAGTATATCCGATTTCCTAACTCGACTAAGCTATGACATTTCCTAACTCGTATAGTTTATTAAAGCCTCTTACAGACGAGCAAGTTTCTATGACAAGTTATGTGACAGGTTTGAATTGTTCGTCTGTACGCCCAGCTTTGACAACAAGTGTACTTGTCATAGAAAAAAATGTCAACGTTGGGCGTACAGACGAACAATTCAAACTTGTCATAGAAAACTTGCTCGTCTGTAAGAGACTTAAGGCCGGTAAACACTTTTTCGGCGACAAATTTCAATCGTCTGAACAGGGAAATTTGTGCCGCATGCGACAAGACCATGGGCCGGTTGTATAAAAATGTAGTTAACTTTTAACTATAGTTAGTGGCAGAATTGGCCAATCAGAATCGTGTATTTTCTAGTTAACTACGATTTAACTACGTAAAATGTAGTTAAGAGCTTCATAAAACCGGCCACAGGTGATTTTTGCCGCCCAAATGTACACACGAATCGATTTGTTGCAGTGATGTAGCCTAGTGTGTGTCAGCCTTCACAGACAACTTGTCATGAGTACACATACGGGTTTGTTATTATTATGCTTGCCCTTATTTTATATTGTGTATGCAATTTTTTGCGATTAATAATCTCTCTCCCTCCATCGGTTACTTGGCTAACAAAAAGCCAAAATATAAACTTTGGTGGTGAGAAAGGTAGTGACATAACGGCAAGAATACATTCGCTTTTAAATCAAGATCAGGACAGTGCTTCTGAAATCGATAGCCATGCCGAACTACATCTAAATCAATCAATTGAAAATTTGCTAGCTGTCGAACCTGACGATATCAATGATGATGCACTTGAACATTCGTTTAGTTATCAACCTGATGTTGAAAAGAAATTGGAATACCAAGACGAAAATCAAGCGAAAATAGATTCTGAAATCGGTGTAAAGTATGATGAGTTGAATGCGAAGTCAAAAAATTTGCATGAAGGCCCAATCGGTATGCACGCAAACTTAACAAATTGGCATAATCCCTTGGGAAGCAACTCCAGCTATAACTGCGACTCCGAGTCAATAGCAAGATTGAATTCGAAACTTGAGAGATTTTCCGAAAATGTGGCAAACAAACTACAGGATATTACAGTTGAGATAAACAATATTAAAGAAAGTAAACCCTACTCGATTCTGGTTTTGGAAAACGTAGTTAATGACCTAAAGAAAGACAAGCTTGAGCTAATCAGAATGAATGATGATCTTAGGGCACAAAATATGAACATGTCCTGTTCTATATCTGATTTGAAAATGGCAAATAAAAATTTGGAAAACGAAAAGAGCAGCCTTTTGACTGCTCTTAAGTTATTTCAAAATGACTCTCAACATACGTCCATGACTAACACTGTGATTTCAAAAGACGGAGAAATTAACATTGAACCGGCCTGTGAAATCATACATAATAATGAAGTCACTCAACTGAATCATGAATCTGATCAGCCTGTAATCTATAGTCAGCCCAACGCCAAAGAAAGTCTTACAAAAAAGAGTAAAAAGAAGAGTAAGAAAACCAAGTCTAAACCATCAGCTCATAATACCAGTCAACTAAATGCTCCGGATGCAAATACCTCTGGCTCTGGCGGGATTTCAAATACCTCCAACATTGAAACAACGAGACAGGGCCAGAACTCGCAGAAGCAATCAGTTGTTATTGCAGGAGACTCAATTGTTAAAAATATTATCGGTCCGAAGATGAATGCTGAAGATCCTAATCATTATTTTATTGTAAAGCCGTTCCCTGGAGCAACAGTCACAGACATGGAGGACTTTGTCAAGCCACTTACAAGAAGAACACCGGACAAGATGATTTTACATGTTGGAACAAACGACCTGAGAAGTCATTGCACGCCAAAAGTAATAGCTGACTCTATCGTCAACATTGTAACGCAAGTAAAAGAAGATTCACCAGGTACAGATGTTGGAATATCAGCCATTCTGGTAAGGTCTGATAATCATGACTTAACTGTTAAAGCTACTCAGGTTAATAACATTCTTAAAGGCTATTGTATTCGCAATAAAATTCCCTTCTTAAGTAATTCAAATATGAATGAAAGCCACCTAAACACGAAGGGCCTTCATTTAAATAGACAAGGTAGCTTAGCTTTACAACAAAACTTTTTAGATTTTGCTAAATCTATCTCAGATTGACAATTTCCCAAATCCGTTATTCCTACCTCACGCGGGTTTAAGTTAGCAGCCCTTAATGTGAGAAGCATAGTAAATCACATTGATGAGCTGCGAGTTTTGCTTGCTACTAGCCCAATCGATGTTCTAGCAATTAACGAGACATGGCTTAATTCTACAATAAGCGATAACGATGTTTACATACCTGGATATGAAATTATACGTCGGGACAGAGCATGTAGTAGTGCCGATGGAAAAACGTATGGAGGTGTTTGCTTTTATGTGCGCTCCTGCGTAAATTTTATACTTCGCAAGACCTGTTTATCGATGACTTGGAAAATTTATGTATTCAAATTCAAAAACCAAATTCTAAGCCCTTTCTCGTTACAACATGGTATAGACCACCTAATTCGAATACTGATAAATTTAATCATTTCGAAACGTTTATTGATATGCTTGACGCAGAAAATGTCGAGTATTACCTATTGGGCGACCTAAATTGTGACCTTGGATCGCCTACTTTAGATTGCAATTCGAGATCTTTAATTGGCATCACTGAACTCTATGGTTTACATCAATTAATAAATGAACCAACTCGAATTACCGAAACTTCATCAACTATGATCGATCATATTTTTACCAATACACCAGATAATATTGTTTCCTCTGGTGTTTCTCATGTCGGTATCAGTGATCATAGCTTAATTTACGCATTCCGTAAGCTTTCTATCAGTCCACGCAACAAAGGCCATTCTACAATAAGTTATAGAAAACTTAAAAATTTCAACTCTGAATATTTTCGACGAGATATTTCTTTACAGAATTGGGACGTGATAAGGATAATAATCCGAATGATATGTGGCGTATATGGAAAACGACCTTTAACAACGTAGTGGAAAAGCATGCCCCTTTACGAACTAGGCGAGTAAGATCTTCTAAGGCGCCGTGGATCACGCCTGAATTAAAAAGGCAAATGCATGAAAGAGATGTTTTGAAAATAAAAGCTATTCGATCCAAAGATATTTGTGATTGGACTGTTTTTAAGAAAGCTCGAAATTCTGTAAACAATGAAATTAAACTTGTTAAGAAAACCTATTATATGAACGCTTTTCATGAAAACGAGAATAATGTTAAAAAAACTTGGGGTATCATCAATGAATTGACCTCAAAAAACAGATGAGTTCACGAGTAAATGAAATCAAAATAAACGGGGTTTCTATTACTGACCCCTCGGACCTATCTGAGACGTTTAATACTCATTTTGCTACTATTGGACCTAAGCTTAAGGAAAAAATACCTGACGAAGAAAACAATCGCTCGTATTTAGAATATCTTACTTGCCACAATAGTAACAATAATATAGAGTTTAAGTCAATAACCCCATCATCAGTTTATTCGCTCTTAACAAACTTTGTAAGTCCAAAGCAATTGGGCTAGACAAAATATCTGCCAAGCTTCTTCGTCATTGTCCTGACTTGCTTTCGGAATCCCTTGCCGTAATTTTTAATGCTCTATCATTACCGGTATCTTTCCTGAAGAATGGAAATGCTCAAAGTCATTCCATTATTCAAACAGGGCGAGCGTAGACTACTTAAATAATTATCGCCCAATTTCGATAATACCGGTTGTGGCGAAAGTTTTCGAACGAATTATTTATGATCAAATTTACGGTTTTCTTACTGAGAACAATTTACTATGTAATAGCCAGTCTGGATTTCGACGTTTGCATTCAACTGTTACTGCACTTCTAGAATCTACTAATAGCTGGGCCTACAATATTGACCAAGGACTGGTCAATGCTGTCGTTTTCCTAGATCTTAAGAAAGCCTTTGATACAGTTGACCATGGAATTTGTTTGTCAAAACTGTCAGCATATGGTCTTGGGGGTGCTGTGGCTAACTGGTTTAGGTCTTATTTAAGTAACCGCAGTCAAAAATGTTATGTCAATGGCCATCTTTCTACCAACCGTACGTTACTTTGTGGTATTCCACAGGGAACTATTTTGGGACCATTGCTATTTTATTGTATATAAATGACTTGCCAAATTGTCTTGAGCACTCCCAAGCACGAATGTATGCAGACGACACCAATTTAACATTTGCAAGCAATAAAATTGAAGATATAGATTATTACTTTAATCAAGATCTTGAAAATGTTAATAAATGGCTTATCGCCAATAGGCTTACATTGAATCAATCCAAAACTGAATTTATGCTAATTGGCTCACGACAAAGAATAGCTACTTTCCAATCAGACCCATGTTTTAAAATAGACGGAATTCCTATAGACAAGGTTTCACATACAAAATCTCTAGGAGTTCACCTTGATGAAAATCTATCTTGGAATATACAGATCAAGGAATTAACAAAAAAATTGCTTCTGGTATTGGCGCTTTAAAACTCGTTCGTTCATTTGTCCCAGTTGCAACATTGTATTTAATTTTTAATTCCCTTGTCCAGCCATATTTCAATTATTGCTGTACAGTTTGGGACAATTGCAATAAAACCTTGGCAGATAAACTTCAAAAACTACAAAATCGCGCAGCGAGAGTTTTGACCTTTTCAAGCTATGACACTAATGCCGACATCTTACTTGATAGACTTGGCTGGAAAAAGTTATCTTCCCAACGCCAGTTTCAAAAGGCTGTCATGGTTTATAAATCACTCAATGGACTTGCTCCACAATACATGGGTTCCATGTTTGTAAACCGTGACAGTGTCAATCCTTATTCGTTGAGAAACACAAATAGTAAGCTGGCTGTTCCTAAGCCTCGCACAAACTATCTCAAGAATAGTTTTAGTTATAGTGGTGCGATGCTATGGAACAGCCTACCGATTGGGCTACGGCTAGCAAATAACCTAGCAAATTTTAAAGCGGGCTGTTCCAAATTATTTTAATCTACATTCACATTTGTATTATATTATATTTCTTGTATATATTCCTTACACGGCTCTCATGAAAAGCAGGTATATTAATTATTAGTTTGATTTATCATTGTAAATATTTTTGTAGTCTTATTTTGTAATTCATAATCTTGTCATTTGTCAGCATGAAAATCCTGATTGAGAATACCGTGTATAAATAAAGTTTAATAATAATAATAATAATAATAATATTTATCACCGAGTATATAAATCATGGTTGTCTTGGGCTTTTTTTTACAAGTCTATATAAGTTTCCTCTATGAATGAATTATTTTCATTCATATTTCCTTTTATTTTCAGGTTTGGAGAGCGCTTCGTCTGATTGTCGATACCGGTCTGCATTATCGAGGCATGAACAGGTGTGTATGTTTGTGTACACCGGTGAAAACCCCCAGTTGTCCCTCCGTAATCCTACCCGATTTTAATTGGACCGGAATATATATTTTGAGCGAAGCGATTGGCTTCAAATGTTCATACCAGTACGTGTACAGTGTTAGTATATAGATCATCGCCTGAACTACGTCATGCTTCGCTCTTTCAGAACTAGAGCACTGTGGTACTTCTCGGAATATGCCTGGGACAGCTCCGACTTGGCGCAGAAAGAGATAACTCGTTACCAGGGCGTTCCCGGTCAAGCGACCGCGTACATGTTGGGTCAGCAGAAGCTCGTGCAGCTCCGGGGGTACGCGAAAAAGATGCTCAACGAATCGTTCAACATTCAAGATTTTCATTACCAGGTTCTGTCGCAAGGCTCGGCACCCGAAGCCTATCTTCAGAAACACGTAACAAAATACGTGCAATGCAGTCTGGGAAAACTAAATGGTACAACGTGTGACGTAATTTTGAAACCGCCGAAAAAGACTGCCACCCAGAGCGTTGCGGACGAGGGACCTCCCCAGCCTCCCAAACGTCATCACTATTAAAGAGTTTTAATGCTTTCTTAATCCGATAGGAACGATTGTATAAATTGATCTCGTTCAAAATTTTAATCATTACGTAATTGTAGTCACTGATCTGCAAACCAGACCTGGATAGTCCTAGCATACTTTTCAAATGCATTGACCAATTTTACGGAGAAAATATTTTAAACCATTGACGACGGTCAAATTTCGGCATTGTTATTTTAATGTTTTCGTAGAATGTGTTAGTGCAGCGGGCGAAATCATTTCTAATGAGCCAATCTAGTTCACTTCTGATGGATGTTATAGTCTGTTGTCTTGCAGTATATATGGGCAGCAAATCGACCAAAGCCAATGCATTATTGCTTTATTGATAGTAGACTACATTACATACGTCAGAAGTGAATTGGTTTCCACATAATGGATCACAGATTGATCAGACCTTGGTTAAAGCTTCCTGCGTCTATTCCTAATACACTTTCAATACAATTATTTCTAAGGTGGTGCATTTGAATGTTGATAGATAGAAACTTGCAAAGCATAGCCAGAACTGTTTTAAAATGGGCCCTGATGTGTTAGTTTTTAATCAATATACCTACCAGATGCATCAATGCACCTAGTTTTAAAACGGGCCTTTATAAACACGTATTTTATAGCATAGTTTAATCATTAATTAATAAACGTAAATTTTCATCGATTGAAAAAATTACTTTTGCCATCAATTACCGGATAGCTTTTATCAGCTATAACCCTGTCTTCACCTCAAATTACTAATTCTGTCTTCACCTCAAATCACCTCAAATTACTAATTTTTCGTATTTTATTAGACGAAAAATTTGCGTACCTATTTTTTACAAATGTCGTATTTGTGGCGCCTGTAGATTTTAAGGGGTTCAGAAATCGGGCGTCGCAGGATTTGCGGGTAAGTAACATGCGTAACATATTGACATACGTCCATTTAATACCACGGCTTAATTAATCGCCATTTAATCCACACGCCATGCTAAGGTTTCATGTTTGAAAAGTATCTTGTTTGCAAACAGAATCCGATGCGGGGAGACGGTTGTCGAAGTGCAGACCAGAAATGGCTCAAGTCGCTCAGAATCGTTCGCGGAAAGCCGAGCTAGTTATTGTAAGCGAATATTTGAGACTTCGTTTGCATTGTGGGCAGCCATCGATGATAAAGGACAGACGATACCACGCTCGTTTGTACCAAAAGTGCTTCGTTGGTCGTGAACTCGTCGACTGGCTAGTGGAACATTTGGAAGCGACTAATCGAAATATCGCCGTCCAGTGCATGCGGGCTTTGCAAGATATTGGATTGATACATCATGGTATTGTACATTTCTATGTTTAAGGACCTAGAATTTAATTAGACTCTGGCGTATACGAAACGCTCAAATTTGCACGTTGGTACCTCGTCTGCCCTGTACGAGTCGCACGCTCCAGGCAGCTGGGCACAACTTAATGCGAACACGCGAGTTCTCGCCCGAAGGTGTGAGATACTTGTCCGGATCTTGAGTAAGGCTTTCTCTGCGCTAAAAGTAACGTGGAGTAAGGAATAAAGGCTGGTTAGGACGTGTTTATGTTCGCCCGGAGCCGTTTAGTTCACGTTTCTCATGCATGCTAATTCGCACGTTTATAGTTAAACAACCGTCCTGATACCGATGCAGGCAAGAGTTCTTGCTCTATCGCTGTTTCGGCCTGCCATCGTTTTCAGAATTTCGACTGAGCACAGTTAACTGTGGACCGAGCTTGCAGAGCGCGTTCGTCTTCGGGGAAATTACTTTAGAATCTTGAAATGCAACTTCTCAGCACGGAAGTTTTACAATATCCGTGTTGCAATGAAAGACAGAAAGTATTCAAGTTTCAATTTAATAATCCCCTAGCATTTGTTCGCCGGAAATTCGCATACGGTAACGTGGCAAATGCGAGGCTCCAAATTACGGCAATTCAACTGTAATTTATCCCGAAACTTCAAACTTTTGTTAACCATTGTTTGTGTCAAAATACACAAGTCGGTTCCGTTGAATGCTTGAAATGATAACCTATGACCCGTCGTAGACAAAACAAGTTTTTATCGTATATATATTAATCATATATATCATGCATTTTGTGTGTTTTTTTTGCAATAACTTCAAGCACAATAATGTAAATATTTTTCGTCGGCGACAATGGCTAAAGTTTCAAATATTTGCGTTCGGCTCGACTGCAGTGTCTGTCAAGGATCAGAAGTGTCATGTCGATAATTTCGTCACAAAAAGAATGAAGAAATGTATAATTGTTTAAAATATGTGACCCCATGATGGTTTTGTATTTAAATGGTAACTTTGTACGGTTGTAATGAAATTTCGCCATGTTTGTCTCAAGATAGTTTGTGCAAAGAATACACAAACATCGCTTGAAGTGACATCTTTATACCTCACTGTGAGAGGTTTTGTAAAAACACCGGAAATATAAGTGAGTAAAATTAGACGACTTGGAAATTAAGCACTTGGAAATTTTGAAACATAATACACATAATTGCAGGGTTTCGACGTTCAGCCGGTAGAAAAAACAATAGCTGATATACGATATTGATTTTTTTACAACCTTTTTTTTATTGTTTAAAATATTTATCGTCAACAAAACCTATTTCCAGCCACGAACACGAGATTGAATTTGCGAATGACGACGTGATACGCATTCCCAAATAGTCGGTCCTTGTTCTTCGAGAATACACTACATACTTTATGCGCGAATGCGCCGAATATGTGAAGATATATCGGGAGAAAACCTATATTTGCCTTATCGTAATTTTGAGCTTTGGAGTACGACATCCAGTTATCATTTGGATATAAGAAATTTTCCATTCAACGGTGTGGAGAAATTTCATTTGAGAAGTAAAAGAAAGCTTGGTATTTCTCTTTCAACGACACATTTCATCACGTGTGGTTGACAAGTTCGAAAATTACCATTAACAAAATGAAATTGATGAATCAAATTAATGCATGAAACCTTTTATCTTTTTATTCGAGAAGGCAGTATCAGAACTCTCTTCGTCTCTCGCAAAACACTTTGAAAGTTTTCAGTTAATGATTGTTCTTTTGATTATACTCTAGTATGCGACGATCATCAATTTAAGGATCAGATGCTGTTCTACAGATTTCGTCGGGATGACGGTAGTGGTGGTTTTGATAAGGAAACAGAATTTGTATTTCAAGCCGTCGACCTTTATAACAGGTTTTTAGAATTTCGAGTTGTTTTAAGTAAACGTAGCATATTACAGCCGATGCATGAAATCAGTCAACTGTTTTTATTTTATGATTGATACCGTTAAAGTCATCCTCAATGTTTTCACTGCATAACATCTCTGACCAGCTCTCCTTCATCTCTTCTTATTACGTGTCCATATCATCTCAATCTTGCCTCCCTCATTTTCTCTGCAATGTCTACCACCTCACATCTTCTGATCTCTTCATTTCATAATATCTCTGACCAGTTCTCCCTCATCTCTTCTTATTACGTGTCCATATCATCTCAACCTTGCTTCCCTCATCTTCTCTGCAATGTCTACCACCTCACATCTTCTTCTGATCTCTTCATTTCATAATATCTCCGACCAACTCTCCTTCATCTCTTCTTATTACGTGACCATATCATCTCAACCTTGCTTCCCTCATCTTCTCTGCAATGTCTACCACCTCATATCTTCTTCTGATCTCTTCATTCCATATATAATATCTCTGACCAGCTCTCCTTCATCATCTCTTCTTATTACATGACCATATCATCTCAACCTTGCTTCCCTCATCTTCTCTGCAATGTCTACCACCTCACATCTTGTTCTGATCTCTTCATTCCATAATATCTCTGACCAGCTCTTCTTCATCTCTTCTTATTACGTGTCCATATCATCTCAACCTTGTTTCCCTCATTTTCTCTGCAATGTCTACCACCTCACATCTTCTGATCTCTTCATTTCATAATATCTCTGACCAGTTCTCCCTCATCTCTTCTTATTACGTGTCCATATCATCTCAACCTTGCTTCCTCATATTCTCTGCAATGTCTACCACCTCACATCTTCTTCAGATCTCTTCATTTCATAATATCTCTGACCAACTCTCCTTTATCTCTTCTTATTACGTGTCCATATCATCTCAACCTTGCTTCCCTCATCTTCTCTGCGATGTCTCCACATTGCATCTGTATAATCAAAATCTCATTTCGTTCTTTTTCTAAAGAATTTTAGCAGATCAAAAGAAATTCGTGGTCTTGCAAGATATTCAATATAACGGCCAAGTATTCAAAACTTGTTTTTTCGCTCGTCGCTTCATTGATTGGCTGGTTTTGAATGGCGAGACTCATTCACGTGACGAAGGAGTTGAAATCGGAAAAGCTTTTCTACAGACTGGAGTTATAAAACAATGTAAGTGATAGTTGTCACAGCTCTAGATAGCTTTATAGCTTTACTAAAACTGTTCTAAACTGTTCTTCTTGGAGGTCCAGTAAGGTTCATCTCTTATTGATCCAGTGTAACTACAGGAGGAAACCTAAACTAAACTAACTTTGTTTATACTGGATAGCTCTATCAGTTCTAAACTGTTCTTCCTAGAGATCCAGTAAGGATCATCTCTTATTCATCCAGTGTTACTACAGAAGGAAACCTAAACTAAACTAACCTTATTTATACTGGATAGTTCTATCAGTTCTAAACTGTTCTTCTTGGAGGTCCAGTAAGGTTCATCTCTTATTGATCCAGTGTAACTACAGGAGGAAACCTAAACTAAACTAACTTTGTTTATACTGGATAGCTCTATCAGTTCTAAACTGTTCTTCCTAGAGATCCAGTAAGGATCATCTCTTATTCATCCAGTGTTACTACCATGGCCAGAAAATTCGGACATATTTAACATTCTACTTCCGCCTAAATTTGCATATGGTGTCAAAATAAAGCTTCGTGAGTTTATAGTAAACTGTAATGTGCACAGTACTAAACGCTAAAAATACACCTTTAGGTAGGTCAATTATAATTTGCCTTAATTGCTCGTTGCAGAGCAAGTTAATCTTAATATTTTTATACAGTATTTCAAAATGTTTTATCAGTATTCGTCCTGCATTTTCAAAACAAAGTTTTGGTCATTTATCACGTTGAATACCATATAAAACGAAAACCGTAATAGCGTAGAAATAAAATAAAAATGCAGAGCCGACATAAACCTTTGCCAGCAAAATATTACCTTAGGATCTTCAATATGACACGAGTTACAAGAAACAACCAGGGCAAATAGCAAAGATGAAATGATTTTCTTAAATTTTGCAAAATTTAAGAATGCGCAATATAATTTATAGTTCTGCAAACGAATAATATTTGAACAGATATGCAAATTTGCTACGGCAATCTGCATATTCCATGTCCGCAATTTCTGGCCATGCAGAAGGAAACCTAAACTAAACTAACCTTATTTATACTGGATATAGCTCTATCAGTTTTGAACTGTTCTTCTCAGTTCTTAATGAAACCTAATATAGTTTAAAACTAAATTGCAGTGTCCCCCAGCATCGCTTTTCAAGATGATAGCCTTTACTACCAGTTTCGAATTGAAGATATGAAGACATCGAAGCTGATGAATGTTGTGAACCTGAGCGAGCTAGATAAGAACAAGCAAATCACGACCTCTACAAAAAAGGACGGAACACCGATCAAAAATATCGTGCATTTCTTTGATGACATGGCCAAACTTCAGGTCAACAAGTCAAAAGGTTTGTGTTTTTGTCTTCAGAGTTGCCTATTATTTGGATTATGGTATCCGTAATATCAACTTGTTATTTGCAAATGAGAACCTGTGTAGATGTGCACGAAATATTGTGCTGACAAAGAAAGTATTGATATTTGACGGACATGTTCAGGACTTTAGAATTTCCAAGAAAGGTTCAATATTTCTAGTACAACACTTCAAAAGTTCTTTGTCTTTTGTGTTTTACAGTCTGACCTCCCGTGAGGCTGGTTACAGTTGCTTTGGTTTTGCGGTAGAGTTATATCTTTATTATCTAAGAAAATAGAATATTCTTTTCGACTAATGTGACAAAAAGAGGTTGAACAGTTGTCGGGAATCCGAACAGGGGCGGATCTAGGGGTAGTCACACCAATCACGCGACTAACGTAAAAATTCCGCACTAATTTGATTCAATGAAAGTGAAATAATATTTATTTTTCCGAACGCAGTCCAGTTGTAAATTTGCAGCGGCATAATTAATTTTCTGGCCGAATGAATTAAATTAACACTGATCTCTCTTGATTTCCCCGCTCTGAATACAAATTTCAAACTGCACAATCGTGATCGTTCTGGAGGTTGGTTAGGGGCGTTTCTGGTCAATCTGATTGGCCCATTCGGTGGTTTCCAAGGAGACAAAAATGGTGATCGTTTTGGAGGTTTGGTCTGATCGTTTTAGAGGTTGGTTATGGGCGTTTTTCATCAATCTGATTGGTCAGATCGATAGTTTCCATGGCGACACAAATTGTGATCGTTTTGGAGGTTGGTCTGATCTTCATTTCTTATTGGCTGTTTAATTCCTGACCGATCACGACCGATCAAGCGATCAGAGTCAGACTAGCCTCCTCCGCAGGCATCTCTTATGTATTTATATTATGCATTTATATTTGACCGTGAGTAATATCACCGATCATGACCGATCAGAGCCCGTGTTTTGCAGTCGAATGTATAGTTCTTTGTAAGGGAATTCAAAAGAAAAACCGGTATGGAGCAGTTTTAATGCGGGCGCTATATTCATGACAACATTAAATAACGCGTCGTCGAGAGATTGATGTTTTCGTATTTAATAAATATACTCGCATGTGTTCGACGAATTGAGAAGTGTACTGTTATAAGGTAAATTATCCAATGTTGATGTCTATGTAAACTATACTCTGATAATACTATAAGTTCATATAAACAATGGTCCGATAATTTAACTATGTTATTGTTAGCTTATATATTTTACCTAGGCTTTGAGGCTGCTGTTATTAGCATATATTTGCATTCGCCCGTCAAATCGATTTAGAATTTCGAGCCTATTCATATTCTCATTTGTTGTATTGATGATTCGCATTACCCAGATTCTTCTTGCTGGCATTGTATAGATTGTGAGCTAGTGTAATAATCTGTAATTTGCAGTTTGAAAGATTTAGAAAGCTATGGATATTTGCGAAATCATTATAATATATAAATATAAAGCAATTTCGCTCTGACCAAATTCAATGATAACGTAATAAACCTGTGTTCTTACATTTCACTAGACAATAACATTTTGAGCTGAAAATTTCTGGAGAGGTCTGTTCGAAGGGGTAAATTTCTACCATTATTGAGATTTGACTATTTCTATAAAAACATGCATTTTATACCCACAAAACGTCCCTTTTTAAACCTTCCATTTCAGTGCCTACACAATGTTTTGTGTGGCATTCAATAGCTGTGCCCTAGGAATTTAGCAGACTTTAACCTGGCATTAAGCTTGGAAAGCCTCACAAATTTCATAAATCTGGCGGGGGAGGACGATTGGTGACGAAAATTGGCCTACGAAAATTTTGACTAACGTAAAAAAAATCCTAGATCCGCCCCTGAATCCGAATGCAGAAGACAGGCTGTAGTTAAAAAGGTCCTATACTTCAAGAAGGTTGCACAGGTCATTAACAAGTTAAATAAAGCGAACGGTATACACGCTGACACAAAGTAATTGATAGGGAAGTCGAGAGCTGTTTCTTTCTACATCTATCTCATCAGTTTGGATCAGTTTTGTAATGTTTTTAAAGACAAGTCTATCGATCTAGTTATTCTAGTATCTTCTAATGTCATTGACATTGTCACGCGATTGTTTCACGAAATTGATCACGCACGTCACTTCCAGTGCAATATCTATGCTAATATCAATGCATGTCTAGATATATTCATTTTCCATATTAAGCTGTACCTGTAACTGATCAGTATAGTTTATTATCGCCTCTTCTAAAATATCAAACTTGTTTCAGAACTAAACAGACGGCGCCATTCAAGCTTCGACACGCCTCCAAATACTCCTCCAAACATGGAAGACGTTCAAATTTCGCCCAGACCAGGTAAAGATTGAATGTATCTCGTATAGTAAATAGCGAATGCCTAACCTCTGAACAAATTGTACGCACGAGTCATCGCTTCAATACAGCGGAGTCTTCATGAAACCTTGTATGTATATTTTAATCATATACCAGTCATGTTCCGTTGCAAGTGATTGAATGTATCCCTGAAGAAACTATATCGTACTACTGTATTTATTATAACGGCAGATACCTTGAAGTTATATGACCGATTAATTTCAATTTATTTCAGTCGTACTAAGAGACGTGACCGTTGAAGAGTTAGAAGACAGAAGAAACCCGTACGTCATGACAAAAATATCTGTGAGTTCAGGCCAATTTAATACGCCGTGTTTCACACGCCGAGCTTTCCTGAAATATGCAAATAAAAACTTCGCGAGGTTTCGAGCTAAAGGCCTCCATCAAGAGTTTAAAGCTTTCACCATACCATTTCGACGAGACATCATGAAGTTCTCTTGTATGTTTGAAGTCTGTTTACACTTGCGATTTTTGCTGTGGATTTTGGCGCGAATTTTTTCTCCTGATAAATACGCTCTAACGAATTGCTATGCTCTGCTGTGCACAAGTGCCCTTAATCTTAAAACTTCCGTAAAATATCCACTCGTTATTTCAAAGGCAGTTACTGAAGCTAAATATATTAAACTCTCTCAAGGCTGGCAAGTTTGAGAAGCCCATTATTAAAGTCACGGCCAACTTATGCCCTTTGTAAAAAATCCTACCAGGAAGACACGACCGTAATTCACTCGAATTCATTCGCTATTTCTGTTCAAAATCATCTAGATTTTGCGTGATGCTGTTGGATATGGATTCGTCGTTCGCGGTAGTATGCCTGTCTACGTTCAAACTGTCGATCCTGACGGCCCGGCAGCCGCCGCGGGCGTGAAGGTCTGTGTATTCATAAATCTCCCAAACAATCAAATGCATTCAATCTGTAATTATCATAATGTTCTTCCGCAGGTAAGGCAGTATATCCACTCTGTGAACGGAAAGTATGTGTTAAGATGGACGCATCGCGAGGTTGCGGACGTAATCCTGAACTCGCCAAACGTCGTTGAACTGGTGGTCATGAACCATTTCAGGGGTTCCTAGAGAGATCGTCTCCGCTTGCGTGAAACACTAAAGTTTGACTAAATCAAATTCCTTCCTGTTTTTCGGGGAGGTCTTTAGTCGGTTTGTCAATCGGAAAGCCTTTTAGGGTGAGTTGAGAACTGGTTCATTGTGTTGCAGCATAATTGTGTAAATATATGGTTGGTGTTCGGCCTGTGACCGCCAGCGACGGGAATCTAGGATCATCATTGATGTTGATGATGCTTTTCTCAGAAGTAAAAAAGATATGCCCGATTGGGCAAAATTGGTTTTGGGCTTTTTCAACGCCATCTCCCTCTTCCCTGTAAAGGTGGAGGGGACAGTTCATCCTACAGGGGTCTCTTGTGGGAACAACTTCACAAATACTGCTTACTTACAGCTATAAACTGTGATCGAGCGAAGACGAATGGACTCAACCAGCTTAGATGAACCATACAGCTAAGCTTGGTCTATATTTGACAATATTTCAAAAGTAAACTCCGTCTTCGGTGCAGTTAAAACTCATGAGGTTTAACTCATTTTAAGTTGTGATTGTTGGCCATAGTTCTTGTCTCGATCAAAATTTAGTTTACAGCTGGAATCCTACATTACCATTGTCATCAGTGGACAATACAGGAAAATAGTTTGGATACATAATATTGAGAATATACAACACTAGCGTTTTATACTGCATTTTATAAAGGTTCAGGTAGAAATTTTATAATGAGATATACTTTTTAATCACCGTTTGATTTGAGCTTAAAGTTTTATTCACGAATTGTAGAAATTATGTCAAAGTGTGTATATATATAGTTTATGCAGTCAGATTTTACATTGATTAATACAATTAATTGCCAGGGGCCAGTTGTATAAAAAGCTAGTTAACTTTCAACTGTACCTACTGTGGTTAACTTACAGAATTGACTTACAGAATTGTGTTGTAGTTACAGAATTGTGTTGTACTTACAGAATTGGCCATTCAAAGTCGTGTATTTCTAAGAGTTAACTAGGATTTAACCATGCAAAATGTAGTAAAAGAGTTTTATAGAACCGGCCCCTGATATTTACCTTTGTTACCCAGCAATGAAAATGTAAATACTACGCTGGAAAAAATGCGCACATACAATTAAATTATTCAGTATATATTTTAAATTTTTACGGTAGTAATTTTGTAAATAGAGAAATATCGCAACGATGTAACTGTTTAACTACTTTTCGAACTTTCATATTTTTTTATGCAAAAATAAAAATATAGTCACAACGATCAAATGAATTGCTAGTTATAATCTTAGTGAATTTATTCATATTTTATCTTCAACTCTTCCTGGATTTCCGCGGCAAACGACGCGAAATTGGGTGAGAAACTGTTTATTTTTTAACAGGGACCCTGCGAATGGAGTAATGAGCGGCTTCGCAATCTGCGGCGGCGTAGGGTCTGCCCAAGACAGTCGGAAGTTCGCTTGTTCATGATTTGAAAGCAGTTTGGAAATTGGAAGTCGCAAGTAAAATGAGTTGATGAAAATTGAATTGAGCGAGCTATCATTCGATTGGCGAATCTTATTTTGCAAGCAAGCTAAACTGTTTTGCGAAAGTAATGCACCCAAACATTTATACTTTGGTTAAATTTTTCCAGAAAGAAAACCACCAAAGATTAAAGGGAAGAAAGGACACCGCGGAAATTGGTAGACTTAGCCGTAATTCTCAATACTTAGACTTTAAATTCGGCAAGCTAAAAGATTTATAAATATTCAACAAAATATCTCTTGCACAAAAGATTTGAAGCTTGCAACGGCAAAAACAAATCATCTGAAAATGTCTGAAAATGTTTCAAAATGGCCATTTTACGGTGGCAGATGCATACGAAGAGCCTTCAGAAGTTTCCAAAACCGATATTGGAAGAAAAATTGAACTTGTTTTCAACTTATTTGATAGTATTTTCTTTGACAGCAGTTTCTGAATACTAGGATTCAAATGTGAGCAACTGATGAGATATTTGACTTCCAACACCAATTTCTGCGGTGTCGGAAGAAAGGGAAGTTCATACCAAATTAGTGATTTTCCTTGAAAGCAGGAATTTGGACTAATATACAACTTCCTTTTTTTTTATACTTAAGGGAAATTTAGGAACCTCAGATATATCGCCAAGGAATTCTCCAAGCAAAGTTTCAGAATTTCAAAATGGCCGTCGACTATGCGTCTGGTTTGTCTGATTATCCACATAAAGGAAAGTGTGGAGCGCCAGAGGTTTGTTGTTTTTCCTTGTTTCTTTGTAAATACAGTCTCTCGTTCAGCTAAGTTCTTTGTGATTTGTTTTTGTGTTGTACTGTGTGCAAAATCATTTCATTTCTTTCAATTTTGATACGAAAGCGGCGTGCACTTTTTAAAGCATCTTGTGGACAATGCATTTATCACCTGCGATCTGACCAAAATATTCAAAAAAATTCTGTGTATTTTTGGCAGTTGATAAACCGATTATCACGTTATTAAATAAATTAGTTATGTCTTCAAATGCTGCTTTTTTATTATCAAATTTGAATCGTTTTTGATGATGCACAACTTTGAAAATGTCAAAGTTTTTATGCGAGGAATATAACTTTGTGTTTTTTTGGGGAAATATAGTGGCTATATATCCATTATTTTAAAAGGTTAACTGCTTTAAGATGAAGGTGAAACTCACCTGCCTTTGCGGCTTGCGATAGATTGCTACATTAACCCACTGAGTTACAGTGTTCCTTAAATGAATTTTTTATTCAGCTTTATCTGAAATAAGTCAGTTTCTCACATCAGGAAAGAGCTTGAAGAGTGCTGCTTTTTTAAGAATAAACAAAACCTAAATATCAAAATTTATTAGCTTTTTGACTCAGAAGAAGAACTCGAGAGAAAAATAGTTGAATTAACAAAGTTAATCAAGGAATCGAAGCACATGGTGTTTCACACGGGAGCCGGGATAAGCACTTCCTGTGGGATACCAGACTTCCGTGGTCCAAAGGGCGTCTGGACCTTGGAGGCTAAAGGAGAAAAACCGACTTTCGATGTGACCTTCAAGAGTGCAGAGCCAAGTTTGACACATATGGCAATTGTTGAGCTAGAGAGGGAAGACTATCTGAAGTTTGTTGTTAGTCAGAATGTTGATGGCTTGCATTTGAAATCAGGTTTTCCCAGGTATGAAATTGTACCTTAACTGTCCTATATTTATATATCTTGTGCCTAGCAGTTAGTGAAGTCTTTATGATAATTGTTTTCATCTCAGATCAAAGCTGGCAGAACTGCACGGAAACATGTTTGTAGAACAATGTGATAATTGTGGAAGGCAATATCTGTTTGGGGATCCTGTCAAGACTCTTGGTTTAAAACGAACCGGGAATTTTTGTTTGAAGGGTGGAAAGAGAGGAAAATGCAGGTGAGATCTTGGGTGAAAGTGAACTTGATTACATAAAGTGAATGTTTAAATACTTTTTCAACTTTTTAAATACTTTTCCCCATAATCAGTCATCTATTTGGCAACGTAATGTATTCCAATTTGTTTTGATTTTTTGTTTTCTATTGGCCCATTTTTATCACATGTTTTGCCCCCGTACAAAACATGTGTTCTTCGCTATTTATTTTCATACTAATTCTCCTGAGGAAGGCCCTCGGGTCGAAACATCGAGAAGTGTTGTTATACCACATTTGATACTTTTCCAACTGATGATTGTTGGTAATATTTTGCATTCAGGGGTAAACTTCGTGACACAATATTAGACTGGGAGGATTCTCTTCCAAATGATGATCTGGCTGCATCTGAACATCATTCAAGGTGAAATTTTTGTGATGACCATCCAGTCATGACCATATAATCCAGTGAAATATTATTGTACAGTACACATTTCTTATTACCCTCCCCCCCTCCCTTGGTAATGATAATAATAATAATAGTAATAAATAGTAATGACTACAATTTATAGTGCACATGTTGTATATACATGTTCACCTGATACACACTATGTTCCCTTTATACCCAGTATGTCCCTTCTCATTCAAGTCCTAAAGCACTGACTTGTTCCCAATTCCTGAAATAAGGAAAAAATAGCGTGTCTGGAGCGAATTGCGGTGTGATCTCTTCACTGTTCATTTTATGTAAAATTTACAGTATATCCCTGCTATGAGTCCTATACACCCCATATACCCCTCCTATTCACCACATATACCCCTTGTATGCACTCATTCTCCCCCTACTAGAATTTGAAAACTTCCCCTACACACCTAACATACCCTCTATATCCCTCAGGTATCCCTCCTATAGCCTTATATACCCTTCTATTTAAACCTTGTATATCCTCCTATACACCACATATATCCTATAAACCCCCTCTTGTATACACTATCTCCTACACATTTACTCCATCTGATCCATGACCTTCCTCCCATGTAGACAAGCAGATTTATCCGTGTGTCTTGGAACTTCATTGCAAATCAACCCGAGCGGTAATCTTCCGGCTCAAACCGTGAAACATGGCGGGAAACTTGTCATCATTAACTTGCAAAAAACTAAACACGTACGTCACTTTAGATTGAAACATTATTGCATATATCACTTATTATAACAACCAGAATATTTGGATACTTTTACGAAAATAACATTGCAAGTTCGCACGTGGATCTTTAGACTTAAGCCAAACTAAATATTTCAAACACAATTGCACAGAGTTGCAAAAAGAGTTTAACCTTCCTCCGCAATCCGGTATGATTTCAAGTTTTGAAAACCTTTCTCAAAATGACGTTACGTCACTGAGTCAAGTGGCAACCAGCATAATGAAATATTTGGTACATGCATGTGATCAATTGGAGTGTTCAACTTTGAATCTTCCTCACAAACCTCATTCAAAGCAAACCTTCCTCCAGGTGGTACCTCTGTAATTGCAAAACTCTGCAATTGCAAAAGCCTGTGTACAAGTTCTGCTGGGATTTTAAATGCGATTTTCGTCTTTTGATGGATGTGAACGTGTGGATAAGTTACACGGATGTTTAGTTCTGTTTAGTTTACAACTACTGATCAGAAAGTGACTATTCGCTCGTTTGCATCATATGTTTGCATCCAACAAGGGGAGATGCAAACTCTTGATGATAAATATATGTAAAAGCTTCACCTAACAGGATTGACATAAACAATATCTTTGGCATTATATAGGACAAAAAAGCGTGTTTGGTTATCCACGGATATGTAGACAAGGTTATGGAAGGTGTAGCAAGACATTTAAACATGATAATTCCACAGTTTGTCCCGATTTCGCCGTTCAAAGACACGGGCGCACCTCCCGTGTTGCAAGCCCCTGTCAAATACGAACACAAAAACACTGGTGTATTGAAAAAAGAGGGCGGTCTTCTCAGAAAAGATACTAAAAAGTTTTCGGAGAATTTGAATGCTTTTGAATCGGGCGAATCTAAAAAAACACCCGATTGGCAAAAAAAATCGAGTGAAAATAAAGAGCGTGAATGTGAAGAGGAAAAATCCGGTGTCAATCCAGTTAAACGCGAACGATCTGAGCTGAACTTCGAAGATCAACTGGATGTTAGTTCTTCTTGCGATTCTAGTTTTATTGAAAGAAGTTGGGACCAGGGTAGTGCTGATATAGTTGGGAAAAAGGAATTAAAGGGTGATTGTGGAAGATCAGATTTGACCTCGAGTGAGAGTGGTCAAGATGAAGAAGCGAGGTCAAAAAATACATCTGATCTCCGAAACACGGAGAATGCCTGCAGCTCTGGTTTAGATTGTATCCAATCAGGGGATTCTGCTACGAATCTGGAGCACGAACAATCGAATATCAACGAGAGTTTGATAGTAAAGAACGAGGATCCAAGATCATCTTTGCTTGATCCGAGTGCAACACATTTTCCCTCAAAACATCTCGAAGTTCCACTGAAGAAAACGAAGTATAACCAGGACGCAGGTGTTTAAACGCATATGCACGTCTAGACAATGTACATATATTCATACGACAAAGCTATTGTGTTGTAAAACGCGTGTGATTTCGCCGCCTGAAATTGCGCAAAGTAATATTTACACAGGCGTCCTTGTGTATGATAATTCGCATATTTTACCCTCGCATTAAACATTTTATTCTAAATTATCTTTTGAAGAAATGATATTGTCTATAACTGCGTATTTTTTTAACCGATTAAAACTGATAATTATTGTGAGCTTTGTACATTTCAAGGTAATGTTTAGGTTTCCACCATATCGCTCCCAGTTCACATTATAAAACTATGTTCAGAGCGGAAGAGATGTATATCTTGAAGTCTTGCGTTTGTAGCAACGCCATGAGGTGGTATTTTCCTTCGTCCTGACTCTCCGAAAGTTTATTGTTTTTTTCGGCTTGATTCTTGATAAGTCTGCTTGCCACATCCAGTGCATATAAAGATCAGTGCGCATGTTCTGCATCGAACATGTATGTACCACGGCTTAAACTCGTCGTTTTCAAATAATATTGTCGCCTCAATTTTCGTGGGTTTTACAACAAAAACGCAACAACTTTCGGTCAATTAATCATATGATTTACGGTAACAACGACCAAACTGTCCTTTTGTATTTCAGTACAGACAAATTACTGGTATTTTAGAGTGTTTCAAGAACTCTGCATTCAAGTATATTGTTGTTTACATCTGCCTAGCACGGGTGGGAAATGCAGTTTCACCGCTATATTCTTAACGAAATACTTTATTTCAATTCAAAATATGACCGGTCTGACCATTTTGGCCGCTTAAGCGCCCTATGAACGCATGAGCCTATATTCGTGTTGTTTGAAAATACTCGTGAAAATCTGTGAGAATTTATGTCGTTTTTCTTATTTTCCCATCAATAATTAGACTTGTACCGACTACAGGCGCTCTTAAAAATCTACAAACGAGACGATAATGAAGATTCTATAATGAAATAAAACATTTGAAATGCTTCAGATTGTTTGCTTTTGGTTCGCGAGATTTTCGTTTCGAAATCAATAAAAAATCTCCATGGAACCTGACGTTTTAAAAAGAATTTCACTTTTAGAATATAATGAAACAGTTGAATGCGTTTATTCAAAATGTTTATCCAGTTCAAACTGTTGATTATTCATTAAGAAATTTTAATTAAAAAAACCGCTTGTTTAAATACCTTTCGCAAACAAATTTGTATTTAATAAATGACGTAATGCTTGTAGTTGAACGTAAAAGGTAATTTTCCTGCGTTATTTTGTTACCAAGATTTCTTAAACACGAAAAGCTCTAGTATGGAAATCTCCTCAATACAGACATCTCTCTAATACAGACAACTCCATACAAACATCTCTAGAATTTAGGCACCTTTCTAATACAGACATCTCTTTAATACAGACAACTCCATACAAGGATCTCTAGAATTTAGGCACCTTTCTAGTATAGACATCTCTCTAGTACAGAGTTTACAGACATCTCTCTAATACAGACACGCATCTTTTTAATACAGACGTCTCTCTAATACAGACATCTCTCTAATACAGACATCTCTCTAATACAGACATCTCTCTAATACAGACATCTCTCTAATACAGACATCTCTCTAATACAGACATCTCTCAAATACAGGCATTTCTCTAATACAGACACCTCTTTAATACAGATATCTCTCTAATACAGACATCTCTCTAATACAGACATCTCTCTAATATAGACATCTCTCTAATACAGACACCTCTCTAATACAGACATCTCTCTAATACAGACATCTCTCTAATACAGACATCTCTCTAATACAGACATCTCTCTAATACAGACCTCTCTCTAATACAGACATCTCTCTAATACAGACATCTCTCTAATACAGACATCTCTCTAATACAGACCTCTCTCTAATACAGACATCTCTCTAATACAGACATCTCTCTAATACAGACAATCCTCCTAATACAATCGCCTCTAATACAGACGCCTCAGACCAGCACCTCTTTAATCATTGCAATAAGAGAGGTGCTCTTGGGCCGCTGTGCAAATTTTAATATAAGAAACAAATGCCCAGCGCAAACTTCTGAGCGAAGTTTATTTTCATAGCGGTATTAAACATTGAGTTTTTTACGTGCTGTTAATTCTGTTGAACAAATGTTAAATTAGCTCAAAGGAGATTCATTTACTCAGGGGTTATGTGAATCCTACTATAATAAGTACCGTTTCGTCGAGAACAGTCTAATTTTGCCTACCTTTTCGCGTGCATATAACGTCATATTGAAAGCGTGTGGATTTTAGTCAGAAAAATGAAGACATTTATCGTCGTGCTCGTTCTGTTTGCTTTGGCTTTCGCCGATGAAGAAAAGAGATTTTTGTTGGACGATGTATGTACTTTTTTTATTTGGAATAGAATGATGTAGAATGAATCCATTTGCATGTCCGAGACGTTATAGCTTCAATTTGATTTGATTTGATGTAAGGTTATTAACCTTTAAAAATATTAATCTTGCAATTCCTTTAACCCATTTTAGAAATGCAGCGATGATAGTGACTGTCCTGGCCAATGCTGCCTAGAACGTTATTGGATAGGAAAGAAGTGCCATGATTATATCTCGGAAGGAAGTCGATGCTATGTACGTATATTATCACTTTGTTATTTGCTGAAAATTCTATCCCCTGCCCTCAGAAAGACGCGGCAATATAGTTTTGATTGCTGGATAACAAAGATTGACGGAGCGTCGAATAAAGGTTTCGGAATATTTCCGCAAGTGATGTGTGGTAAAGCATTCATGAATCTTTTTCGTGTTTAAAAAGTTAAAAGTCGATTTCTCCTCTAAGTTGAAAATGGCATGAAGCTGAGAAGCTGAGGGTGGCATTTTGGTGGTTTGGGATGAGATTCAGTGCAAAACACTGTTTAATTAACTGAGAACAACTTGAGCATTTCAACCGCGTGGGACACACAATCATCGCAGATTCTTTCTCCCTCCTACAATGTGTTTTGCTGTGCTTTTAAGCGCTAGCCAAACGGAATGAATGAATCTTTCCCCTTGAAAATCACACTTGCACCGTAGCAATGAAATATTTGACTCGAATCACTTTTTTCCAGGAGTAATATATATGCAATAATAAGCGTGTAATCATTCAGAAATATTAAATATGGATTGGTTATTCTTTAACTAGGGTATGCATGTCTTACTGTAATAACTCCTTATGTTTTTTTATACAGCATAGTTCTCTCGGCTGTGGATGCGAGCCAGGAACCTCTTGCCAATACGTATCAGGTGGCGGAGTTTTGGGTCTCCCTTCTTACAGATGTGTTTCTGATGGAGGCGAAGGATCTGGGTCGTTGTAAAACAAACGTCATTGCATAAACATGTAAAGTTTGTGAAGAATAATTAGCTAATAATTAAACGTAAAGAAAAACAACGCTGCCTGTTTGTGTATTGTTTGCCGATGCATTCAACTGATTCAAGCCATCTCAATTAAGTCAATTTGTAGTTTCATGGTTTATTATATGTTACTAACCTTTGCTTAATTCTTAAAACGTGTCTCTAAGGACATTATAACGGAGGTGTCTGGCTAAATGATTTACAATTGTACTAAAGTTTTAACGTAATACAAAATATACAACATTTGCCAAGTTCGCAACGCCATCTCACAGAGTAAATGATAGTTAAGATTAGATATCTATATCATTTACTCTGTATCAAATGTGGTATAACAACTGCCTAAATTAGACAAAACACTCTAGGTTACTCTGTGTTTTATTTTCGAAATATTTCGCAGGCAAATTTGGCAATTTTGCTAAATTTAGTATCGTGTTCATTCCATGCAGACATTTTCTTTTTATCGCAAAGAGAAAAATAGTCCAAATTAAGCGACATGTGATTCAGGCAGCGATAAATCAGATTTTGGTGAAGAAGTCTGATAAGAATCTAATTCGTTAAGGATTTCTGTATGAAGCAGCAAATTTATACTAAGAAAAATGCATTAAAGAAACCCAATCAATAGTTAACAGCTAGCCTAAACAGTGAAAATTGTTTTTTAAATTGTGTGTGCCCAGGTGTTATACCAAATGCGTTTATATATAGATCTTGGCTTGATTATAAATGTGATAGGAAAGTTTGCGGTTTCTTCAGTTCAGTTCAGTTATACATCACATACAAGCAAACGCAAGGAATTTTTTTGTTCGTTTTTCAAAATGAAATCTTTCATCGTGGCTGCCTTGGTTGTTGTTTTTGCCGTTGTGGCCATTGCAGAGGAGAAGCGATTCTTTATTAAGGTTTGCTTAAAATATAAGGAGAAAACCTAAATTAAACTAACTTTATTTATACTGGATAGCTCTATCAGTTCTAAACTGTTCTTCTTAGAGGTCCAGTAAGGATCATCTCTTATTGATTCAGCGTTACTACAAGAGAAAACCTAAATTAAACAAACTTTATTTATACTGGATAGTTCTATCAGTTCTAAAATTCTTCCTATAGAGGTCCAGTAAGGATCATCTCTTATTGATCCAGTTGACCTACAGGAGGAAACCTAAACTAAACTAACTTTATTTATACTGGATAGCTCTATCAGTTCTAAACTGTTCTTCCTAGAGGTCCAGTAAGGATCATCTCTTATTGATCCAGTGTTACTACAGGAGGAAACCTAAACTAAAGTAACTTTATTTATACTGGATAGCTCTATCAGTTCTAAACTGTTCTTCCTATAGAGGTCCAGTAAAGATCATCTCTTATTGATCCAGCGTTACTACAGGAGGAAACCTAAATTAAACAAACTTTATTTATACTGCATGGATAGCTCTATCAGTTCTAAACTGTTCTTCCTATAGAGGTCCAGTAAGGATCATCTCTTATTGATCCAGTGTTACTACAGGAGGAAACCTAAACCAAACTAACTTTATTTATACTGGATAGCTCCATCAGTTCTAAACTGTTCTTCCTAGAGGTCCAGTAAGGATCATCTCTTATTGATCCAGCGTTACTACAGGAGAAAACCTAAACTAAACTAATTTTATTTATGCTGGATAGCTCTACCAGTGCTAAACTGTTCTTCCAAGAGGTCCAGTGAGGATCATCTCTTATTGATCCAGTGTTACTACAGGAGGAAACCTAAACTAAAGTAACTTTATTTATACTGGATAGCTCTATCAGTTCTAAACTGTTCTTCCTATAGAGGTCCAGTAAAGATCATCTCTTATTGATCCAGCGTTACTACAGGAGGAAACCTAAATTAAACAAACTTTATTTATACTGCATGGATAGCTCTATCAGTTCTAAACTGTTCTTCCTATAGAGGTCCAGTAAGGATCATCTCTTATTGATCCAGTGTTACTACAGGAGGAAACCTAAACCAAACTAACTTTATTTATACTGGATAGCTCCATCAGTTCTAAACTGTTCTTCCTAGAGGTCCAGTAAGGATCATCTCTTATTGATCCAGCGTTACTACAGGAGAAAACCTAAACTAAACTAATTTTATTTATGCTGGATAGCTCTACCAGTGCTAAACTGTTCTTCCAAGAGGTCCAGTGAGGATCATCTCTTATTGATCCAGTGTTACTACAGGAGGAAACCTAAACTAAACTAACTTTGTTTTATACTGCATGGATAGCTCTCAGATCAAATCATTATACTATATCATTCTTAGACATGTAGGTCTGATCAAGATTGTCAAGAGGGGCAATGCTGCGCGAAGTACTTCCTTGTTGGCAAATGCCAAAACTACCTCCAAGAAGGAAAGTTATGTCTTGGGGTATGTTTGGTGAAAACCACACATCACTTAAAATACAACTCAATATTGATAAAGGATGGTGTAAAAAATGATGAGATTGACGTTATACCATTCGGATTATCATTAAAAGTAATATATTGACAGGGTGTATAACATGATAGCTTACACTGAAAAGAGAGAATATTAAGGCACGTTTATATATTTGCAATTTTGCTGCGATTTTATTTGCGATATTCTTCTTTTGATAGATGTGAACGAATTAATTAATTACTGATGTTCAATTAAGAGCTCTTATTAATCAGTGCATTCGTAGCTAATTACTCATTCACATCTATCAAAAGGCAATCACATGGGGTGATGTGCGAAAGGGCTATACGATTAAGTTATACGAGTTTTTAACATTTTGCTTTTCGCGATAGGGTTTTGGGAAGCGTGGTTTGGGTTTCAAGCCAAGCTGTGGCTGTGCTGAAGGGCTATCCTGCCAAAAGTCTGGCTTTTTTCTTCGAAAATGTGTGGTGGAGGAAGGATCTGGCGAGATGTAGTTCCAAAAGTTATACCATCACATAACTCGACTCGTGGACATGCATGCTAAAAATAAAATGATCAAATAAAGTTGAAAAGTAATTAAAAATGAAATTCGCAATTACCTTTCAATTCTTTATCTCTGCAAAAGGCTTCGGAAAACGATTACGGCATGCAACAAAACCAGATTCCGAGTGAAGCTGGACAAACCAACGATCTTTGATGTTCAGCCGCCTTGTCAGAAATGGACAAACTAGAAAACAATAAACTGACATTGTTTCCTTGTAAGCAATGTTGACTGGAAGTAGACAAACCAGGAAACATTGTTTCCTAGCCATGTTTCATGAAGGTAGACAAACCAGGAAACATTGTTTCCTAGCCATGTTTCATGAAGGTAGACAAACCAGGAAACATTGTTTCCTAGCCATGTTTCATGAAGGTAGACAAACCAGGAAACATTGTTTCCTAGCCACGTTTCATGAAGGTAGGCAAACCAGGAAACATTGTTTCCTAACCATGTTTCATGAAGGTAGACAAACCAGGAAACATTGTTTCCTAGCCATGTTTCATGAAGGTAGACAAACCAGGAGACATTGTTTCCTAGCCATGTTTCATGAAGGTAGATAAACCAGGAGACATTGTTTCCTAGCCATGTTTCATGAAGGTAGACAAACCAGGAGACATTGTTTCCTAGCCATGTTTCATGAAGGTGGACAAACCAGGAAACATTGTTTGTTAGCCATGTTTAAATAAGAGTTCTCAAGAAACACTGTGTGACAACAATGCATGCTTCTTTAAGCTAGACAAGCCAGGAAACTTTGTTTCCACAGCCATGTTTATCGAAGTTAAACAATTAAACCAAGGTAAAATTACGCTGAATGTATTGTAAAACAGAAAACATTATTGACTGCATGCAGGCTATTTTGAAGAGATTTATATACAGTTGTAGGCAAGAAATATCAACACGATTATGTTTTAGTACACGAAAGTGCATGAAATCGATAAAGCCGGTGTAGTCAAGAACAAGAAGAGCATTTTGGCATAAATTGGTATTTAAGCAAACTGTCTGGATACACATCAGTTGAGTAAATATTAAAAAACATTCTGTTTCCACAGGTGCATTTTTTCCCTTAATAAAAACTAGTTATATATATCCGAGCATAAAAATATTTCTCTTCATTTCACTTGAAGCAATAGGAGGATCTTGTCTGTTTTTTGTGTCCACTTGTTTCACGTTGGAGATGAGAGCCTTTATTTTGGTCGCCTTGTTCGTCGTTTTGGCTGTGGTTGTAACTGCAGAGGATATCGAGGAGAGACATTTTTTGAAGGTAAGAGATCATATGATGCAGTGGTCATTAGTATACTCATTACAAGATGGACCGACAAAATAAGTAGAACTCGCTTTTCGCTTCATTTCAAAATATATGGATGCACCTGGGGGACAGCTCTAAGATTTAAGTATAACGAGATTTTGCCGAAGAAAACGATGTCTTTCCTGATATAGTCATTTGGTTTTGATATCCTCTTTTTTAGATCTGGTTTAAGAGCTTAACTTAGCTTTTAATGAATGCGTTATATCAGTTATATAAACCTGTTGAATATATGAAAGGTTGAATCAGCAAAAATTCACATGCGTGTTTAAAACGTTTGCATTAAAAAAAATTCCTTAAAAAAACTGCTAAAACGAAGGTTTTAAATTCAAGTGCGTCATGGACCGGCTGTTCATACGATCAACGATTCATAGACAAACAATGCATCATCTATCTTTCTCTCGCCTATAGTTACCCAACCACGACATGATAGTATGAAACAGAAATAATGTATATCGTCTGTTAGTAGAATTTATAGCAACGTTTATAGTGAAGATAGTAAAGATTTCGTACATCTGTATACGTGAGTCAGTAGCTAGTGACCTAGTGTATACTTCTGGTCTCGCAAGCGGCATGCAAGCTTTACCTATAGCCCACCGTACACGAGAGCTATCAGCTGAGCTAAAGACCTCGCAAGACAATGTAGCGGCTCAGCCTGAAAACCATCCGCTCACTGCTCACAGGAGAAACGTTTTTATTCCTGTTGGGAAACTGCGGTAATAGAGACCTTCAGCTTGACGTTTACGACAACCCTGTAACGGCAAACAGAGAAATTCATTTGGAATTTTCAAAACAAATGCTAGGTTTCTGAGGCCGAGAAAATTGGTGCATTATTTTCAAACATAGAGTAACTTCTGAGACAAATTGTGGCCGAGAAAGTGCCAAAAATTAAATTTAAAATGATTTTGAAATTAGCCGTTTGCTGCTCGCGGTTTGTCATAAAGGTTAAGCTTCAAGTCCGCGGTCGTAGATCCATCCCTTCGTCCCAATCTTGATCCGGGCTGAAAAACGGTATTTTCTTATTGTATAGCGATGCAGATCCGATCGACATTGTCGCAGAGGAGTTTGCTGTAAAGGATTTTGTCGGAGAGCGTGTCCAAAGCCAAAGGTGACTTAAATTTTGATACCGAAAACCTGCGTGCGTGCTTCACGCTTCATAGCAGAGTTTTTGGCGATTTTTCCGCGGCTTTCGTGTATCTTTATAGAAATTGCGTATATGGCGGTATATGCATGTGTATAGTATATAGGTGTCGTACAATGAGATACCGTGTTTTGTAGGGATGCGAGTCTGATGGTGACTGTTAAAAAAGGGGAGTGCTGTGGAGGTTTCTGCCGTCCCTTAGTGTGGAGAAAAAGGCGCACTGCTTTAGAACCGCTGTTCACAAAATATGTTGGATTCATGGAATAGTTTTTGGCGATTTCCCCACAGCTATCGTGTAAAAAATCGTTATCCCAAGCGTGAGAATTTTGTCAACATTGGTTAATGTTTTAAAAGATCGATACTCAGACTTCACGAAACAAATTCACGAGGTCATGCAGACAGCATTCTTCCTTAGCCTTACGATGTTTTACGAACGCACAATCTTTAGTTCGGATACCGCTCGAATATTTCATTTCGACGCGGAAAAAATAAGGCGTGACTTATATATAAGCTGTCTATATGCCATTTTTTATTTGTAGTACTGTATAACGACTGTATACTGACTGTATTTACGCCTGAGGCGTCTTAACATGAAATACGGTGTTTTTTAGAGATGCAAGTCTGATGGTGACTGTAAAAAGGGGGAGTGTTGTGGAGGTTTCTGCCGTAAAAGATGTATTAAGGTATTATTAAACATTTTATTTTGATCTATTCAATTTACACCAATTATCAATTTACGCAAATTAATAATGAAATTATTGGCACTTTGTATACATATATATTGGAATTTCGCCTCGAGCTTAATATTATTGCACTGACGAAGGCCCGTGGGTTAACAGACCGAAAGCTTTGCAGTATTAAATACTTACGTAGTGTACCTACATTCTACAAGCTAATTTAAACGTACAAGAATATTATAGTGGTCAGTTTGTTCTCTTTCTCATTTGTAGCGATGTAAATCTGAAGACGATTGCAAAGAAGGACAATGTTGTTTGAAATATTTTTCACATTTCCGATCAGGAATTTGCCAGGATTATAAACAAGAGGGGGAAAAATGCTATAAGGTTAGTGTATGTTATTTTTTCTACCAGCGAAAATTGCCAGACAGTAAAACTTCACAGTAAAAAAAAACACGCCTTGCAGTAAAGTTCACTTTCAACCTTCCTCATGCAATGTCAGTTGATCATTGCAGTATACTGCTAGTCTGATTGAGTGTTGACTGTTGCTACTAATACTAGCCTGAATAGTCTAGTACGTACTGCTTTGCAATGTTTTATTCCGTGTTTTTCTTTCAACCTTCCTCAATGACGTCAGTTGATCATTGCAGTACTGCTGGTCTGACTAAGTGCTGACTGTTGCTACTAATATTAGCCTGACTAGTCTAGTACTTACTGTTTGCAATGTTTTATTCAGTGTTTCACTTTCAACCTTCCTCAATGTCTAAGCGCTAATTGTTGCTACTGTAATACAAACAAGCCTATTAGTTTAGTGAAATGTTACTATAGTATACGAACTCAAGTAGTACTCGATGCGTTGGAGTGCTTTGTTTCAACGGTTCACTTTCGGTCTCAACCCTTGTGCGTGATTGCTGTAAACTATCCCTCTGAAATTAATGTGTGTTTTTTACAATCAATACAGAAATCCAATTTTCACTCCATGAGGCGTAGTTGTGGTTGTGCTGAAGGCTTGCAATGCGAAGTAAAAAAAGCGTTCTTCTTTGGCTTTGGCTACTCTCGTCCTGGAAAGTGTGTCAGTGAGGAAGGCTCTGGTGAGATTGACGATTAACTGAACATCCCCAGCTTGCTATATAGCTTGTATGTTCATGCAATAAAACGTATCTCTGGCTGTAATTTTTTGTATTATGTATGGGGCGTAATGTAATTTTTTTGGAGGAAAGGAGTAGCGTTAAAAGAACCTAATGTTTTTCATGCACGGGGAACTGACCTACTTTCCCAAAGGCGAAGTCGAAGAAGAGTTGGTTAAATCGATCTCGAAAATGAAATCGATCGCTCGAGCAATCAAATATTCAAGTAGGTCGATCCTAACAGTCGAAGGAAATCTTTTCTATTGGCTAGTAAAATACGATAGATACACGAGATGAAAGGCATTTTTTATGAAGTATGCTCTGTTTGAACTAATTAAAATGATCTAAAATATGATCATCTTTGGCACTTTGCTACAAGGGGTGCTTTGTGACATCGAGACGCACAGTTGCAGCATTAGGCTTTTCAAAATTCAACCAATATAAAGTTAATTGTACATCTTAACAACATGGCTTTCGTCACGAAATACAATGTTTAATTTGCATACAATATAGTTGCACGTGGAAAATCACTACAGCCAGGCCCGTGTATTTTATATCGGAAAAATCCAACAAAAGAACCTTTATATAGGCTCAAGCATATAAGCAACAGAGTAGAACATCAAAATAATCACAAATTTTGAAATAGTTTCAGTTACAATTGGCTTCGCCTTCAATGGCACATGCTAAAAACAGACTCAATTGTCTGCCAAAAATGTTCATTTGTATGTATGCTATTTTTTGTCTTTGGCACAAACAAGCTCTATTTGACGTAATCAAAAGTGCTTGTGAATTTTTACTAGCCGAAGGAACGTCACTCTCACGAGCGAATAAAAAAATTGCTTCCTGTCTGTAGTCTGTACATTAAGCTTATTGCATTTTAGTTTCAACGACTCTTGCTATTCTCGTAGTTTTGTTTATGGCTTTAGTTTGACCACAAAGAAATGTTTACCCCCTGGTCTTGCCAGCCAAAAGCGTCTACAGTTATAGTATATATTCAAATACATATTGTTATTGTGATTGGTCCTGCTGTTCTCACGTCATACGATGCAATATTACCGTTGTATTTTCCCATGGAATTTTAGACATTTTCAAGTATGAGGTTAATATAATATACGAGTACGTTTTGAGCCTGGTTTGTTCTTAAATATCTGCGTTTTTAATGCAAGGTTTTCGTGATCCGTTAGGTGGACGTTTAGATATTGTATACAACAAGCAGTTGCCATAATGTTGCGGTTTTTACCCCACGTTGTTTTTGCCAATAACATGTTGTTTTTCTAGTCAATTTCACGCGCGTGTTTGTCGTGTGAGCGTAGACAAGCGATCGCAGAGCATGTCGTGCAAAATATTAGGGGAAAGTTTTTAAAGAACGCTCTCCGTTATTTTGTCCCATTGAAGATGGCCTTCCATCTTGTTCCCCGACTTCCTCGATCCTCGACGAGGCTCTACTTTTCTCCTCGGCTCTCGAGATATTTTTCTCGAGACTTTAGCCTCGATATTCCTCATTGGTCATGCCTCGTGAACGTGGGCCTCGCGCGCGATTTCAATGAGATGAGACGGTGGTCGACCAATCAGCGTGAAGAGCGCCAGGTCGCGTTGTTATTGAATTCTCCGACAATGCGTGTGTTTCACTTTGGCTCTCATTACAAAAGCACTGAACTTCACCAACAACTTCAACAAATGCCATTTAAATCGCGAATTCCAATCGAATACGCTCAGAATTGAACGAGCAGATGGCCTGAGTTTCAATGATGGCCAAACCGGTTTTATATGGCTGAGAATCAGCGAGAAAGTACGATTTGAGCGGTTTTAAAGTAGGAACGTGCTAGTCATATGCATAGTTAGCGTTGTGGAAAGTTGAAAGTTGACCACGATATTTTAAAGGGAAATGGTCTATTTGCGAAAGGGCTGAAATGTTGCCGAAGCTTAGGAAATTTCTGACGAGGCAAAGTCGATCGAGGTCAGATAAAGGGGAAGAGAACGGCGATGTTGTACTGCCTACGGATTTGGCTGATCAAGACAACTTGTTTACAGAGGACCCGTATCGCAATCGAACAGGTTCGATGGGCGACAATATTTTTAACCAAGAGCTACATTTCATTGTGGACTATTTAGGATACTCTCAGGTCTCCGAAGTACAGTCGATTTCACTGCTTTTGGAAAGCGTAAAGCGTGTTAAAAAAGGCTGCTCCGAAGCTAGCCGTGTCGACTTCGTAATCAAAGAAGGAGTTCTAAAGATTTCCACAGTCGGTTGTCATGCATTAATTCTTACCGTGCCACTGTATATTGTTGCCCTCTGTGCACAGGAATCGCTTAGAGGGTTTGATAAGTGTTTTGGCTTAAACATCACTCGAAAGAATTCCCACCTTTGCTATGTTTTTCAAGCTGGCTCGAGCCTCGAGGTAGGTTCGATTTGTACTATACAAAATTGCCTTGTCATTAAATTCTTCCGCCTGCGTTATTACGGCGTAAATATTTTCTAGGTTTTTTGTCAATTGTCTAAAGGAGCCATGCCATTGCTTTGTAAACTTTCACGAGGGTCACAACACCGATATTATGAAAATTATATTTCAACAAACTTGTGTAATTAAACGAATCGCAGGGGAGCTCTACAAGGGGGCCAAGATTTATACTAGATACAGTGTCTTCCCGGCTTTAACATAACATGTCGACGGTGTTTGCCTATTAAAAAATTAAATCCCAGCAGTAGTTTACCCTTATCACATTTACAGATTACGAATAGTTTCGAGGCTTTTTTTAAAATACCCGGGGAAATTCGACACCACGAAAAGAAATATCAACTTGTTTGTTTTTCGGACCTTGGATTACGTGTGGCGTTCGGAAATTGTTTAAATATTGTACTTGTTGACTTGTTCACTTTACAAAACGCGAACATTTCCTTTGATAATAGCACGCTTTGACTAAAAAATCATAATTGCAGGTCTTGTTTGATCGTTACATTGTTTTAGCGGATAATTTCTATTGAAATTCCACCGTGTTTTTGTGTTACAGCCGATCTGGTCAACTGGCTATGAACAGATTTCGAACTTACATAACGCAAATAATTTTACACATGCATGCGCGTCATTTGGGGAGGGCAAGCAATTATCCTCGTATTGGCCCTTTTTTTCTTCAACCACACATATTGTATCGCCGGTTTTTGCCTTTTCTTTCCTGTGCAAACGGCTAGCAAACAAATACCGCCATTTTCGTAACTTCCTGTATTATAAAGATACGGTCAGTTTTTGTGCGCAGTGAGAAGCGTTGTGATCTTGCAACATTTGATTCGGGTTGAAAATAGAAAATACATCCATAAATGGTCCGCACTTGAAAATATCGCACACAGCGAACAATTGTAACAGATTCTGTCATGCAATCACCGTGTTTTTACACAAGGCTTCCCGAGAGCACCTCATTTGAATCTCGTGTTTATTCCCTTGCCACATGCACCCTGCCCTTATCCTCACAAAGTGGATGATCTTTTGATAAAATCTGTTTGTTAGCTAGCTCTGTATTTTACTGGTGTAGACAAACAGTGCTGGATTTTAATTGAAGAGGTAATTGGAAGCTCATGTAACAGTTGACATGTCAGTCAAACTGCAGGACTTCTTCAACTCTTCTGCATTCTGACAAAATTGCAAATACTCTTGAGTATTTTCAAAGTGAGTAATATGCCAAGCCATTGTCGGTACACTTGTACACAATATGGCTTGGTTATTACCCTTGGACTTTTTAACCTGACATTTTAACACAGACAGACCCAAACCATAACCCATTATATATTGTGGATTTCATGGATGGTTAAACATGGTGAAATATTTATTATAAAGTCAGAAAGTAGGACATTCTGACTTTCAAATTGCACAATCTTTGCTGACAAATTGTACTTCTAGGAACAAACCACAAACATCCGTGATATAATTCCTTCCTTCGTTATTTTTCTCATGCAATATTTTATGTAGACAGGCCATCTGTGAATTAAGAAATATTTACATGCATGCGACATTAAATTATTAAGTTCGACAAGCATCATTAATACATTTACAAGGACAATTTCCCCTTTCCTCTCAAGCCGTCGGTCGGTTGGTCTACACCAAGCATGAAATGAGCAGAATTGTCAGACTCAAATCAAAATATTTCCTTATTTATTGTTGTTTTTTTATCGAAATGTCAGAAAGGCCTAAATTACTGTACGGCGTGAAACTTTTTGATACTTTTTCGAATATATCTGTGCAAATTTCGAAGCCAGACATTGCCTAGATAGCATACGGTATTGGCCTTTTGTATATCAACTGTTTCCTAGCAGTTAAGTGTATGAATGTACGAAGGATTATATTCAAGCAAGCTGTCACATTCTTATTACCGCGAGTTTAGTCAAGATTAGTCCTTGGATAAAGACACAAGCTTGACGTTGTTCTAACTAACTCGGCGGGGATTTTGTAAACAATTGACCATTGTTACTCGCATGTAATACGACTTTACGCACTTTCCCTTCTGTTTCTAGTCTTGCAGATGGAAATATATGTTTCCATTAGCGGGTTTTTAGCCGTAGCTAATGTGTGGAAAATTGCCACGCATTAGGCGGAGTGATGTTTATTTAAGTACCGTTTCCGCATTACATTAGTTAATGGCCTTTCGAGATCGCTTGCAGATTTTTTTACCTCGATTTTTTTTACCTGTCAACTGACAGCGCACTCTTCTTTTTAGTCTCGTCAACAGAGAAGCGCCCAAATTTAAAACGTCTCATGTTTTACAGAGAAAATATGGTTACTTTCCAAAGACAAAACCCTGGCTAAGATGAATCATGTCCTTGATCAAAATATAATTCGTCGATATGACGATACAAGATCATCAAAAAGTTGATGATTGTCATGATTGTCGTTAAAATTCGTCACGTACAGCCTATCAATGTGTCATTATCAGAAATAACTGCAAGTCAATGCAAATTATGTTCAAGTTTTGTATATTGCGCAAGGAAATTGTTACAATTCTCGGGCCGAAAATGGCTCACAATTTCTGCACCCAATGGAAAAATAAAATAGAAAAAATTTGCTAATTTTTCAAGGCTAATTTTTTCTGATTTAATCAGTCGAAACAATTCCACGATATGCAAAGCTTGGACATTAACCTTGAAAAATTGCGAAACACGAGCGTAATTATTGCTCAATTTCGAAACTACCGTTTGGGCCATTTTCAGGGTCGCTCCATGTTTCATCGCGGTCATCGTGACCTGTTTCTATATTATCTATTTAACACAGTATCATAAACGATCAACATTATCATTAAGAATACCCATGTGCTTTAAATACAAACGAGATTAGCTGCAATGCCTAGCGATATGCCAGCGTTTGGTAATTTTTAGAGATGATTCATTGTTTTTTTGTACGATAGAGGGCATGTCCGGTGCTCGAAACTTACTTTACCTACTATCGCTGACCATATTTATCGACCTAAAACGTATACTCACTATGCTAAACTTGATGTGCCCTTCTCAAGTGCTCTAGGTCACAAACATTCTAGAGAACGTGTCTTCCCCTTCCTATTGCGGCCCAGGGTGTACCCCTCACACCCACACACCAATCCCCCCTCTTGCACATCAGTCATGCACATCCCTAGCCAGAGGGTAAACACGCATACAAAATTCCTCTCATTCGACTCAAGCAATCTCTTCCACATTAGGTCATTTCCTTTTTTTCCAGCAACTTAACATGGCCCTTAAAAACGGCAATATTTCAATCGTGGGAATTAAGAGCCCCTAGTACACTTAGGCATACCCGCTAAACTCCTTAAATCAGTTAGGATCGGTTTCAAATTTTTAGGTCTTATATCTGTTTATATATGCTCGCTTTGTCTGTATTTTCCGTCGACAAAGTCATATCGACAATCGCTACTCATCCTGTTTAGGTTTGGAATTATTTGTACATCTTTCTCTCCTAAGTTTCTTGCGTAAATCGCCCATGGCAAAACCTCCCTGCATTCCATTTTCAAGATATTTTCGAAAATTCAAGTGCATTCTGAATGCATACAGCAATATATCTCGTTGACCTCATAGAAAAAACTCACCACAACACTTTTTATCCATTTAGGAATCCGATTGCATAATAACTAATAAATATTCTTATTTATGATATCCATCCAGGCATCGAGCGTCGTTCGGTCAGTGGCACTGTCGTTCAAGTCTTTGGGTAAGATGTTGCGGGACAGAAAGGAAAAGATGCGTCTGATGAGACGAAGGAAGAACACCCCCCTGTATCACCCGAATTCGGTTGAATCTGATTGGTCGAGTCAAACTGGTTACTACAATGACTCTGGTTTCGATCCTTGGCAGAAATTTGAGACATGGTCGAGGGTCTCCAGTACGATAAGTAGAGGTAAGAAATTTGAGCCTTTGCACGTGTATTGTAAATCTTTTTAATACAGACATCTCTTCAATATGACATATAATCTTTAATGCGGGCATCTCTCTAATATAGACATTTCTCTAATACAGACATCTCTCTAATACTGACATCTCTCTAATACAGACATTTTTCTAATACAGACATCTCTCTAATACAGACATCTCTCTAATACAGACATCTCTCTAATACAGACATCTCTCTAATACAGACATCTCTCTAATACAGTTATCCTTCTAATACAGACACCTCTCTAATACAAACATCTCTGTAATATAAACATCTCTTTAATGCACTCTTCTCTCTAATACAGACATCTCTCTAATACAAACATCTCTTTAATGCACTCATTTCTCTAATACAGACATCTCTCTAATACAGACATTTCTCTAATACAGACATCTCTCTAATACAAACATCTCTCTAATACAAACATCTCTTTAATGCACTCTTCTCTCTAATACAGACATCTCTCTAATACAAACATCTCTTTAATACAGACATCTCTCTAATACAGACATCTTTCTGATACTCCAACGCAGACACCTCTTGCTCCTGATGTCCATACATCTCTAATATGCAGTCACCCCTCTAATACGGACACCTCTCTACTACAAACACCTCAAAAGTAGGGACATCCTTCTTTAGTCGACAACTCTGCGTTGTAGGTACTGGTAATGAGCAGCAAAGATCATCCATGTCTCAAAAACATTCATTGAATCAATCAACGTCACGGAGACCGCCAACACATCATTCGTTCAAACACGTAGAATTCACTGCACTGTCGCCCGTTCCATCCCACAATAGCAGCATTGAGAACAGAATGAACGACATTAACATATCCAGAAGTAAGCAAGACGAAAGATCGCGTGAAAGCTCTAATACTGTAAAACGAAAAGGTAATTGGTGAATACGGTGCTGTATAAAAGTACCTTTGCTAAAGGCCTTTTACGCTTGCAAAATTTGTTCTGAATTTATGCGTGATTTTCTTCCTTTGATGGATGTGAATGAGGGAAAAGTCAGAGCATTCACGACTTTTTGTTTCATCCGCCAAAAGGCGAAATTCGCATCAGAAATCACTTCACTTTGTGAAGGTTGTAAACGGTTACCCTTGCGATTTTTAGACCAAAAACCATGACCAGCCGACAATTTAAAAAAGTAAAGTAAAAAGCAAATTCCGAATAAACAAGACATCTTGAGAATCAAAATATAATTCAAAAAAGACACAGATTGAGACTGTAAATTTTCGACTTTATTACAAAGTCATCTTCAGAGTCTATTAGAAGATGAGTTTGTAATATAGTCGAAAATTTACAGTCTCAATCTGTGTCTTGTTTGAATTATATTTTGATTCTCAAGACGTCTTGTTTATTCGGAATTTGCTTTTTACTTTACTTGCGATTTTTCGGACCATTTTTGTGCGATTTTCTTACACAAATCCGATCTCCATACAAGGGCATGTTTACATTCGTACCTACGCACTTGTTTGAATCTATCTAATTTGAGGGGTTAACAATCATGTCATCCCCTACCCTCTCCCCCCCCTCGTTCTTTCCCATTCCACTAAACAGCCTCGAGCTTTTCATTTTATGTCCCAATATATCTAGACTTGCTAATTGCCTTCTTTTGCGTACGTAATAAAGTAATTAAAATCTTGCAAAGGAAATGTTCTTATACTCGTCCAGGATCTCGTGAGGGTTTTTTTTATTATAATTTTGAACCATTAAATGCGTGCACGAAATTTGTCATCTGTTGCTAAAAACCCCTAGCTTTTTACCCAAGTCATCTTGCGAAAATAGCAGTCGTCGAGCTTTCAAGCACGATCTACCCACGGTACCGTACGCTCGGTAAATTCGTCTGTTTTCATCACATCGCGTGAGCAACAATTGAATCGCTATGGCGACGAATTGCATGCCCTTTTTGAACGGTAATGCTCTCTTGTATATTTCTACGAGGATAATAACCTCTTCAACACAGAAGTGCACAGAAATCTCTTCTTACGCACGATTTGCTTGAAATAGAAGTGTTGGAACATTTTTTTCGAAGTGTTGCGATTTACATAGTCACGAAAGTATTTCGTGTGCTAAAGCATTTCTTTCGCAAGAGCAAGGTTTTTTAGCCCCAAGCTATGTCTAAGAGTTGTTAAGGGTTGTTCTTGGTCGATCTTAGTAGTTTGCTACAAGTACGAATGTATACTGTAATAATTCTATTTACGCAAGATCACTTCACAGGTTTTGAGTTGACCCTCCACTTTTGAGCCTTGATTTATTGCTACTTGATAACTCCCAGATGTAAATCGTTCTTCCTAGAGGTCCAGTAAGAATCATCTCTTATTGATCCAGTGTTACTACAGGAGGAAACCTAAACTAAACTAACTTTATTTATACTGGATAGCTCTATCAGTCCTGAACTGTTCTTCCTAGAGGTCCAGTAAGGATCATCTCTTATTGATCCAGTGTTACTACAGGTGGAAACCTAAACTAAACTAACTTTACTTCTCCTGGATAGCTCTATCAGTTCTGAACTGTTCTTCTCGGAAATTCTGTATGAGGCGAGAAGAATCAGTCGAGAGTTATTAAAAAATCTTTGTTTCCATCGTTCAGGAGAGTTTCAAATTGAAGTGGACGTCCACACAGATGTCAATCAAAGATTGGCGAAAAGTGAACGACCTGATAACAGCGTGGTGCAGGAATCGTTTTTGGAATTATCAAGAGAAGAATCATCCAGTGTATTACAGAATGAAGACCAGAGCATTTGGTGAGAAGAAATTACAAAATTTATGCAAAATGCACGGCTTTTTTTCCCGGCACCTTGTACATCATTTCATTTTATCAAACTTTGCAATCACACGGATTTCTAAGATCCTCTTTCAAGCTGTGAAGTTTAATTTCGTTTTTTTGGCCGGATCAAAATCTGGTCTAACACACCATTGGTCATGAAAACCAAAATACTGCATGTTTTTCCTATATCTCAAAGTTGAATTTACGAATGTTGTTTTCCTTTTTGTCTGTGTAGTATGTTCGAGAAACCCGATATCGTTGACGAAAGGATAGATATGGTCTTGTCCGCAATCCGAAGGTAAACTATTTCGAGCGATTTTCCATAAAAATGTCAGAACACTTGAACACACAGACTTGCTCCAAGTCTGCTTCTTGATGGTATAAAATTAGTACAATAGTAAAATTGGTATAAAAATAATGGCTCTGCCCTAAACCAAAGCTTTTCAAAATGATTTTATCATTTACCTTTTGGAACTAAAAGATCTCATCAAATGATGTTATTGAAAAGCACCCTGTCCCTGGCCTGTGAAACTGATTAACTCAAGTTTATAAATTAATTAATAGGCGCAAGTTTAATCATGCAGTGGTTTATCTAAACAGTTCTTTTTCAGTTATGAATTTGCTGCAACTTTTGCATATATACAGTAGCTCCGGCCTTTTTCTCCTGACGAAATTGTAGCCGAAAATTTACAGCGCATGCATGCAACTATATTAAAAACACTGCAGGTTCTAGAGCTTTCCTTCATTTTGCACCTACTTGATGTATTTTAATGCACGTAAAGTTAAAACGATTACGCTTATGGCTAATATGCACGCATTATACAAAGTCAAAGACACGGTTTATTAGCTCAAAATTACCGCGTGATAATATTTCTGCATAGGCACAGCCTGGCCTAAGTTTTGAAAGATTTGCCGCGCGTGTTTTTTCAGAAAACGTACGTTAAAACATGAACAGTGATTCTGCTCTGACATCAGTTACATAAATCGCTTAAACTTCGGATTTATATCAATGTAAGATAGCTACGAGTTGAACTGTGTGCCCAGAAACAGTTTGACAGCATGCACTAGAATGCATGTAAACCTTGCCTTTAAACGTGGCGTCAGCTGTGAAAATTCAACTGGAACGAACGCTCTACATTGTCTATAATATCGGGTAAACAGAAGTCTTGCTTATCATTCTATAGTACTCCGGCTGGCGCCAGATTATCCACACTTCTTAAGAAAGAAACTTGTTTACGGCATCAACTATACGCTTTTTCCCCACGGTCGCGTGTGAAAAGTGCTTTCTAGTTCCATCTACAGATTCGCGGGTAGCGTTCAGATTCAATACTCAAGGGAATTAGGCGCACGAACGGCGACAATCGTCTGACAGAAGTCTGTAAGTCTCTTTGATGTTCAATATTATTGCAGAGATTAAACTTCGGCTTATATATAATTAGGTATTTTTATATAAGGTTGACTGCTGTTGCTGCATGGTAATAGCTATAGGGCAAATTTCTGCAATCGCGTTTTTTCTACCCACGAACGCATACGTTTTAAAACCTTTTATGTTGTTATACAAATTATCTTACGTATAAAAAACACAGCAAATCGTCAACGCAATCCTAGCCTAGTATCTTTTAAATGATTTTAGATTTTACGTGCGTGTGACTGCGACGTACGTACGAAAAAAAATCTGAATTGACTCTCTCAACTCAAGTGTTTAAGAATTTTATTTCCGAAATATCGTATTTAATACATTGTTTCCTCTAAAGTCGAGTGTTTTCTCAAGCAGTCACGAAACCATTTCACGCACCAAATTCCCTTCGTTTATTCTGCTTCGGGCGAATTTGCTCCCAAATTTAATTTTCGGCCCAGCGCGTGTATTTGCGGGGAGCATGGAGAGGACTTTTGCTAGTGGAGGAAGGATACTTTGCAATGATTGCAATGTCAAGGTTAATATCGTTTGCATCCACGCTCGCAACTTGTCTTCGCCCACGACTCTCGAGTCCTTTTCCTCGTCACTCGAGACACTTTCCACGATTCTTCGTGTGACAAACACTCTATGTTATACACTAAAACTGCGCCACACCCACGATCCTCGAAATTTTCCCCACGATCCTCGATATTTCTCCCACGATCCCCGCCATGATTGTACTCGTTCAGTTTGACTGGCTACAAGTTACTCAATTTCGCGCTTTCTCACGGAATGACCCTGCACTTCCTTCTTTCATTGTCTTAAGCAACTAATGTCCGGTGCGAAGTGTTTGACACTCAAAGTTAAGGCGCGAAATTTAAAATTAGAAACGCTTGCTATATTTGTCCTTCGGCAAAACTGCACGACTCCTGCATGATGGCACTTGCATTTTGCCAAGGAAACGTTTTGCATCAAACTTTCTTCAACTTTATAGCTTGCTTTGTTTACTGTTGTCATACTAAGTTGGTCGAATATGTGTATTAATGCCCGTTGTAACGAATATATAGTTTACATTATCAAGCATTTATCTTGTTACTGGCTTGTAGTGATGCTTGAAGGATGCTTACTTTTGCAATATAATGCAATCGTGAGCCATATTACATTTCGCAAGGTTTGAGCTAGATTGTTGCACAAATTAAGACACAGAAAACATCAGAGCATGGATTCACCCTGCTTCCTACGTCTTCTATAGTCAGAGTCAACATTTATTTAGTAGGACATGCCAATGTGACACAGTTAGCACTAGATTGCAAAGGCTATTCTACTTCGCTTCCAGAGAAAACAGTTTTTGCAGAATTTATAGAAATATTCAGCTTAAGTGAAGTTCGTTTAAGAATGCTTTATATGGACGTTCTATATAGATCGGCATTTTTTACCTGGTCATGCTCTTAGAAGATTTTAGAAATGTTTCACTCTATGATATTCATCGATATACCTTCAAAATTAACAGGAACACTACGTTTTGCGTGATTTTCGAAGTTGCGTAAACGCATTGTGATATTGTTTGGCTACAAGCGGCCCTCAAGGCCCGAGTAATCTCGGAAGACCTAACCTAAAATTTACCAGCAATTCCGACGAGGAACAAAGAAGACGCTCTTTGAATCACCAGAGCTTATTAAGGGTCATCGAAATTCAAACACGAATGCTAATATTGAATATATTTCCGCACACAACAAACACGGCAATCTTCGCGCAAACAGGGCGGCCCGCACAATCATCCGTTTGCAAGAACCAATGCCGCAACTTGGAAGTAAAAATAGAAATGAAACGCATAGCTATTTCCCGTTTCAAGAGGACCCATGCATAGAATCGAACTTGAACTCTCTAACAATCGAATTTGGACGCACCTTTCAAGTGGTTCGAAAGATTATGTGAAACGTTTCTTCATAAACTTCGAAATTTTACCCAACATAAAATGAACACAATTTAAAGCGATCAGGATTATATTTTAGGATGCATGTTCCTACCTCCGCTTTCCTAAAGAATCATTAGCATTTCATTTATGTTCGCATTTACGTTCGATTACCCAATCCATACATAATAAGTGCATGTATGCCTCCTTGATTTTGTATTCGGTATTTTCCTGAAGTCTTATTGCGTTCAACCACCCTCACAAAGACGTTCCTTACCATTCGAGGAATCCTTTCCAATCTAACTTCTAGCCCTTGAAGGGCCTGTTTTTTTGGTCACGCGATCTGCTTAATTAGATTGTTCGACTTAGTTTAAAGACTTTTGTAATGTACTTCAAATTGCATTGAGCTCGGTTACGAACAAAACTGTTGGGATCATAGATATCCATAAATCCCAAAGCATGATTGTTGAAAGTACAGGAAGCCATGGAGCGATGCTGCCTTCAAAATCGGAAAGACTACTTCAGGATGCAAATATATACAATCGAGTAATTTAAAACTGAGTCTTAGAATCTCTTAGCCTATTTGCATTTGAAGATGATAAATGGCTATACTTGCACAAAAATATACTCTACACAGTCTTCAGCAATTTGTAATAAAAAAATGTTAAAAAACTCAGTGTTGATCATTGCTTTAGTCCTTTCAACAACCCCCCCCCCTCCCAACCACTTGTTTAAAATACATCAAATATCTCTGGTAAATTCCAGCTGAAAAGCTGATGGAACTTGACAGTTGAAAGTTGACTCACTTTAACAAGTCTGTTTTCCCGCTCTTTTAAGGGGTGACGTAGCGTGTGTTTCCTCGTACCTCGATGATGGAGTGGACGTTGATTTAGCTGATTCGACAAGGAGAACTTTGCTTTTTCATGCGGTAAACTACGGTCAGAATGCGGTGGTGCAACTTCTGCTGGACAGGTACGATAAGGAAAAGTATATAGCAACAACCTTGGTATTCTGGGGGCTCAGGGATATTGGGAGTGACCAACCAATCCCCTTCCCCAATCCCCACAATATTGAGTGGTATAGTAACACAGGTGTGTCTAGGGGTCTAAGGGAACAGGGGTATAGGGTGTGACCAACCAACCCCCACAGTATTGAGTAACAGGTGTGTCTGGGGGCTCTAAGGAAACAAGGATATTGGGGGTGACCAACCAATCCCCCTAACGCCCCGCAGTATTAAGTGGTATAGTAACACAGGTGTTTCTGAGGGTCTAAGGGAACAGGGGTAGAGGGTGTAACCACCTCTTTTCCCCACAGTATTGAGCAGTATACTACTAATATCGGTATCGTGGAGGCTCCAAGGGAACAGGGGTAAAAGGGTGCGCCCCCAATCACCCTGACCCCACAGTGTTGAGCGGTATATCAACTCAAATTTGTTTGATACTCAACTAGTAAGCAAGGCCGTTATATTTACTTTGTAGAGATGCTTCGGTGAACTGGGAAGGACCCAATGACATGTCTCCACTTCACCAGGCCGCTGCTAATAAAGACAAATCTATCGCGCAGATTCTGTTGGCTAACGGAGCCAATGTTCGTGCAAAAGATTGTGAATTGTAAGAATTTAGAACTGAGCATTTTCTTTTATGTTGAAACTAATCATTAGCAGATGATCCTTACTGGACCTCTAGGAAGAACAGTTTAGAACTGATAGAGCTATATCCAGTATACGTATGGCTGGCCTAACTTATTCAAAACTGTTTTCAGCCGTACTCCGCTCCACATGTGTGCTGGTCATCCAAGTGGTACGGAGCTATCGTGTATACTGGTCGAACATGGCGCGAGAATTTGTGATAATACCATCGATGGAACACGACCATTGGATCTTCTACCAGTAAGTCCAGAGCAAGCTTGCGAATGAACAATTATGATAAGGGTATGATTTTGAGGCGGAAGAATCATAGGACATTTCGACAACGATTGAGGGCAAACAAGAATAGAAAGGTTCAATTCAATTTGTACCAAAACACAGGCAATTTTAGAGAGGCAGTGTCCAGTGGTTAGCAATATCTGCCCTTCCTAAAACTGGCGCTGGAATGTAGTATTAATTGCCTAATTCTTGTTTATATCTTCCTAGGACTTGAAGGAACTTCAAAGTCGTTTGGTTCAATCAGTGTGCGAGGCGTTTATCGCAGCCGACACGTCGAAGTCTCATTCGAATTCTGTCACCTCATCTCAGTCGGTTCAGTCGGGCCACTCCGTGTTCTCGGGCGGCTCCGTCGTGCCTCACGTCGGCAGTCTACGGCATATGCACAATCAATCGCCGCAAATGAAGCACGCACGTCATGTAAGCCGACGCCTAACGGCCAACTTCGATGTGGGTAGCTTCCAATGGAAGAAGGATGCAAAGTGCATGATGGATGAGGCGACAGGTGAGTGAGATATACCCCCTCCCCACGCTAAGGGTACTCCCCCTCCATGCTAAGGGTACTGTTTTCCCCGTGGTGAAAAACTGTTGTTAATCTGAAACTGGTTAGTCCATCCTACACATTCTAGTTAAATAAACCCTTTCCTTGGAGAAAAATTTTTTAACGTTCCTTGTTACAATAAGAACATTACATTTTAGTGTATATTGACACGGGAAAGTGGTTGAACTATTTTAGGTGGACAATCGACTTTGTTTTTGAAAAATTAGCCCAAACCTAGCCACAAAATGCACCGTTATCGTGTACCTTGAATGAAAACTCTCTCGACCTTTGTTCTGTAGACGAAAATTTCAGAGAAGAGGATGAGATTGACGCCGTAAATGGGACTCCTTGTAACGCATGCACTACTGAGAATATCAAAGAGACTGTCGGTAAATCATCTCTTGTAAACACAAGCTGTGAAGACCAAGAGGATCAAAATGGACACCTCGCTTCGCCGACTACAAATACTCGTGCAAAGGCGCCGTTTAGCGCTTGCGAAACGCGGGAACTTCATGAAAACATACTCGCAGCACATCACAAGAGGACGTTTGTTATCGGCTCTATCGACACGTGGGCTGAAGGTAACGCGTACGAAGCTTTGATGAGCTCAACTCCAGCAGATGGTCTGCTAGAAGAAACTGTGAAACCTTGTTTTGGTGAAGAAGATAACATACAGCAATTCACGGCCTTTGGAAATTCGAATGATTCTGGGCTACACACGAAAGATGAGACGAGAAGCACCGTTTGTGCTCATCAGGTATAATAGAATCTTTTGTCTTTCGATTGTAACCTTCCAGTATAAAATTATCATCAAAGTAGTTTGGTACCTTCTACTTGAGGTTTTCTTCTTTATTTATGCAACAGAATCGGTATTAGTTGAGGATGGTTTAGTATAAAATGGAGGTTCCATTCAATTGTGCAAATATACCTGAAAAGACGGGAAGGACTGGTTGTCAAATTTCTGTTGAAACAACTCAATATTTCTTGAATTACAAGTTGAAGAAATATATGCCAGAGCTATGGTTTTCATAACCAAACATAATCACAAAACTTCGACTTTTTTTATAAAGAACAACAAAAGTTATATTCGATTGAATTCTGCAGAATGCATTTCTATTTTGGCAACTCTTTTGGGGCCAGATGTATCAAGCCCATAGTGGTTAAGTTCAAGATAGAATCTTTTCTATCCTTCTGGAGGCAATTTGAAGCATTAATGTAACTCTTCTGTTTTCTTGCACAGAGTATTCTTCACAACAGCAAGACATGCTCTGAAACGATGAGAGGAAGAACTCGGGGAGACTCGGTTCGTTTTCAAGACGTCGTTTCACCGGTTAAAGAAACCGATTCTGGTCTCGGGTGTTCCGAAGGCTCACCGTTACCTCACGAAGGAAAAGATATGGCAGACAGGGTTTGTTGAAAGGATTTCTTAGAGTATATACTGTATTGAATACATTATGATCTCTTTGGGAATTTGAATATACCATTAAGAGATGCCTGTATGATTCGGGGGCTATAGTTGTAAGTTGTACGAACACTTTGACATCTCTCGTGACTGCGCTGGCTTAAAATATTATACAGCTATAATATCAAGCCTATAAACATTGTTTTCTTAAACTTTCAGTTAAGTAATTGAATTGTCCAATAAATCTGGGTCACTTTAGTTTGGAATTAGTTCCATTTATGCTAAAAGGCTTTGTTTCAACTCTCTAGTTTGCTAAACCTATTCCTTACTTAGTTTTTAAACGATGAATTTCATTTTATTTATATTTTCCTTAGTTTCGTGAGAGAGCACGCTCAAACGCAGACAGTTGCTACGGCTCCATGGCGCCTTGTTGTTGTTGCAAAGAGGATGATCCTATATTGATAGCTCTGAACTCGTTGGTAAAACTATCATTCAATCCCGAATGCCAACCACTTCTTCTGTCCTATCTTTGCCTACCAAAGGCTTCATCGTTGCTGTCGGTGTTTGCAAGGTCACCCACAGCGAAACAATGGGTCGCCGAGGCTGTGGCACTCTTGATTAAGAATCTCGCCAGTGTAAGTGATGTAGTTAACTCTAAAGCCCCGTTTACACTACACTCAATTTATCGGCACGACACGGCTAAAAATTGGTACCCGTACCCCAATTTTTTTAGAGTTCAGGCTACCAAAACAAAGGCGGAGCACAGATGAAATGGGCATGCACGGGTATTGCATTTTAGCTGTGCCGTACCAAAAAATCGAGTGTTGTGTAAAGAGGGGTTATTGACTGTTATCATTGCAGTATTGCTAGTCTGAGTGTCCACTGAGTGCCTACTACTGCAGTACCTAAAGATACTCAGCTGTCTAGTCTAGTACTTACTACTTTGTTTTTATTAATTGTTCTGGCTTCAACCCTCATTAATGTCGATTCTTAACCGCCAGTCTGACTGACTCGTTTAGTACTTTCTGCTTTGCAATATTGCATTCACTGTCTCAATTTCAACCTTCCTCAATGTCAATTGATCATCGCAGTACTGCTAGTCTGACTGTCGTCCCTTTTTTAGTAGGTGTCTAGTCTTGTACTTACTGATTTTCCGGACATAATGGACCCTTTTGCATAATGGACCAACTTATGATTTAGGCAACAAAAAGAGAATATCCGAAAGGTGCATACTAAATTTAGTAAAATTACCAAGTTTGGCTGCAAAATATTGTAAAGTACGGAAAATGAATAGCCACGCAAATTTGGCAATTTTGTATACTTTTTACTACAGCTGAAAGTGTGTAACTAAATTAGTTAAACGCTTCCGGGCGTAGTAAAAAAGTATACAAACGGTTAACTTCGCGTGGCTATATTTTCCGTAATACTTGACATTTTGCGGCCAAACTTGGCAATTATACTAATTTCGGTTTGTTCTTTTTAGCTGTGGTGATTTATTTCCTTCTTGTTACTTAGATCGCAAGCTGGAAATTATGCAAATGGTCCATTATACTGGAGAATGATCTGGAAAGATTCCTTCCATAAATGCTTTTTCTGAAAACTATCGCTAACCTGCAATTTATGTGCACTCAAATGACTCAACTGACCAAATTCGGAAAATAGCTCTTAAAAAGGTCCGTGTTTCTATGTTTCACGATGGTGTTTTTTTCCTCATAGATCGAAGGGCCGGACAGTCGACGAAGGGCAGCCGAAGCTGGTTTTATCCGAACTGTTTTACAACTTGCTGAAACTCAGGAGCCTGTGCAGGTAGCTACGTTTATTTAAATACACAAGTTTGTACTTCCAACATAATGTTCATTGAAGGATCTTAGCGGCATATTTCTGGGGCAATCTTCAACTCTTCTGTGGGAATCTTATGGGCCAGGTGTATAGAGTATTCCTTGCTTTGATTGTGGAGTCTTCATATCTTTCAGACAACGTGTTTAGAGGTGTTGGATAATCTGTTGAAAGACGTGAAGTGTGAGCGTGAATATAATTCCACCATGACCAATATCCCGTCAGGACCTTTACTAAACCTCTTGCATTATCAAAACGACATGGAAAGCTCGTCGCTACACACAGGGATTACAGAAGTTGCAGATTCCTCTGTTGGAAAGAAGCGAAAAATTTCACGGTATGTTATTGCAGAAAGAATGCCCTTGTGTGGTGACTCAACCTGACGATGAGTTCAGCTTGATCGAGATTATATATAGCCATAGTTACCCACCCACAGTTTATGTAATTTTGTTGAGAAGGGCATTCTTTTCATCAGTTCACAACAAGAGACTCCTGTAAAACTCAGTCCTCGTCTTGTGGCAACACGTTTGCTTGCTGCTTCCAGCACTCACTTGAAAATGCAACGGGAACTTGGATCACCACGGTAAGACTAACAGTTTAACTAACTAGTGTTAATACACGAGTCACCTAAACTTGGTTTGAAGCAGCTTCGACACTCATAGTCGGTTCTATTCGGAGTAGGCTTTGTAAAGATCATCTCTTATTGATCCAGTGTTATTACAGGAGGAAACCTAAACTAAACTAACTTTATTTATACTGGGTAGCTCTATCAGTTCTAAACTGTTCTTTCTAGAGGTCCAGTAAGGATCATCTCTTATTGATCCAGTGATCCTACAGGAGGAAACCTAAACTAAACTAACTCTATTTATACTGGATAGCTCTATCAGTTCTAAACTGTTCTTCCTAGAGGTTCAGTAAGGATCATCTCTCATTGATCCAGTGTTACTACAGGAGGAAACCTAAACTAAACTAACTTTATTTATACTGGATAGCTCTATCAGTTCTAAACTGTTCTTTCTAGAGGTCCAGCAAGGATCACCTCTTATTGATCCAGTGTTACCATAGGAGCAAACCTAAACTAACGTTATTTCAAATCGATTAATTTCAGATCGGTGGACCTGCTCCTGGAAGCTTTGGAGGAAAGAGATGCGGAGATAGTTCACAATGCTGCCGTAACTCTGGCAAATATCGCTATGTATGATGGCAACCATAGTCTATTGATAAGCTCTGATGCCGTTGAATCATTAAAGAGATGTGTTCCTAAAGATGCAAGGTTTGATCTTCCTCTTCTAAGAAAGAAATTCTGAAATAATTGACTTCGGCTTCCACGGATTCAACTGCTATCTCATGTAAACAGCATTTAATCCACGCGATAAAAATGAATCCTTTTCTTCGCAGAGCTTATTATCACGTCTGTCGTGCCCTCGTCTACCTAAACTGTGACGAGGATGACAAATGCGATTACCTTTTCGACTTCGATCAAGAGGAACCCAGACCTCTGTACACGGAGAAGTCTCCGAACCAAGAACCTTACATCAAGGGTGGGAGCCTGGAGTCTCTGGTGAGAATACTGACCACCAGAGCTATCACTTTATGGGGTGGGGTGCCGTTGCTTAGTCCTACGCCGAAAAACAGAACGAGAATGAAAGTAGCGAAGAGGAAGAGTAGAGCCACTGAAGAGCAAGTGATCGAGTTCTTTCTGGCCACTTATTCGACTTATACCAATCCTATTGTCCTCATGAGATTGCTGGCTCACAGGTAGGAAAAGACACTATAGCAACAAGGCGGGAATTTCGTTTTAGACCAATCAGCAAGTTTGTTTACATTTTCAGTAACCCAATCAAAATGCGTGAATTTTGATAAAAAGTACAATATATACTATTTTACATGAAGTATTTAAAATGTAGGCATTCTGATTGGCTTTGCCGAAAAATGTAAACAAATATGGCGAATAGTTTAAAACGAAATTCCTCCTTGTTCACTATAGCTCTCTTTACAACATGGCGATCTTTTCAGTAGCACTTTGCTCTGCCAGTCAATTTAATATGAAGACAAAGCCATGGAGGTTTTACTGAGTCTTTTACTGAGCTCACATATACATTTTTCGGTTTTCCAAGGTTTCGTGAACCGGCATTAAATTCGTTGTTTGATGAAGAAACAGGCGTGTTCAAGGACCAAACACGATGTCTGCCTTTTATTCACATTTCTCTCATGAGAATTTGGGTGGCTTGGTTAGAGAAATTCCCTCAGGATTTCAGGGAAAATTCCACTCTTCAGGTTTGTAATGCTTGAGGAACAATGTTATAATGTTAAGTATAACTCATGGATATCATGCAATTCTAAACTGTTCTTCCAGTAAGGATCGTGTCTTAGATCGGGATGGATCGATCCAGTGTTACTACAGGAGGAAACCTAAACTAAACTAACTTTATTTATACTGGATAGCTCTATCAGTTTTGAACTGTTCTTCCTAGAGGTCCAGTAAGGATCATCTCTTATTGATCCAGTGTTACTACAAGAGGAAACCTAAACTAAACTAACTTTATTTATACTGGATAGCTCTATCAGTCCTAAACTGTTCTTCCCAGAGGTCCAGTAACGATCATCTCTTATTGATCCAGTGTTACTACAGGAGGAAACCTAAACTAAACTAACTTTATTTATACTGGATAGCTCTATCAGTCCTAAACTGTTCTTCCTAGAGGTCCAGTAAGGATCATCTCTTATTGATCCAGTGTTACTACTCTTGCCCTCTTTCTAGATTGAACTTGGTAATTTGATTGATAACCTAGCAACGCGGCAGGGACCGTATCTGGTTTGTGCTCAACATCTAGAAAGTCTTCTAATGCACAGCCAAGAAGACACATCAATATCACTTCCACCGGAGAATCATTGTCATCACGATATCCTCTTCAGGAGCGTAAGTTGGGCTTTCATTGTAGAATTGCTCCGTGGTCCATATCTGCAGTCTAAAAATAATGACCTGATTTTCGTGTCTAAACAGAGTTAAAACACTGAATATAAAGAATTGTTTTATGTAACCTACGTGTAATGTTCAGTCTTACAGTCTATAGGTTTTCTTCTGTAGTAAACTACTACCAAATTGATGGTAGTTCTAACTAGAAGACTAGAACTTCTAAGGAGAACGTCAGAAGTTATAAAACTTAGAGAGATGGTTTAGTTTTCAATAACTTTTCCCTGAATGTCTTATGTAACTTACCTGTCTTCCAACAACTGTAAGAACCCTGTGTAAAGAGCTCCTCTCATCCCTCCTCCCCCTCTAACAACCACCACCCCCCTCTAACAATCCACCCCCCTCCCTCCCAGTATTCCTTAAGAATGTAATCTCCCAGATTACTTACTGTTTGTGTTTGAGAAACATATTTTATCTTTCAGTGCCAACAGGCAGTTCTCAGCGGTGCTCTTCCAGCCAAAATCGATGATGCAATATATCTAGCAGCATTGCAACTGTACATTGAGGTACGCCCTGATAAAATATACGATATTCTTTGTTCGCATACGACGTCAGAATATGCCTTCAGGCGCCATCTTGAACCTACAATGTTTATTACTGCTTTTCAAGATCACAAACTAGTTGTCCTTAACATATTTGGAAAGTCAACAATGATGGCACAATTACGAATTGGTGTGTAAGCACACACCACGCAAATTAACCACTACCCTAACTAAAAACATCCCTTTTGACTCTAAAAACGTTTTTCATTCATTATACTGCTGAAATTTAACCTTGAAACCTCCTTTAGTTGTCTTCGACGGGAGACCAGCCAAATGAGAAGGTGTTTGTCACGGACGTTGATCTGGAGAAGATCTCGACGTCACGTATAAAACTTTGCCTCAATCCTGCTTTTCATAAAGTTAAAAACGTTTACAAAAGAGTTCGTGTGTATGCCGAGCAAATCTTCAGAGAGGCTCCGTCTCAGCGTAAAGCGAAGCATGATTTCATCGATTGTTGTCAGGGGATGGTCGCGTATGGTTGCAAGTTCTTTCGTGTGAAGGTAGATAATATATGTAGAGTACTGTGTGAGAGTCATTGAATTAGCTCTTATCCTACTATAGTGCAGGTTAGTTTAGTTTAGGTTTCCTTCTGTAGTAACACTGGGTCAATAAGAGATGATCCTTACTGGACCTCTAGGAAGAACAGTTTAGAACCGATAGAGCCATCCAGTATAAATAAAGTTAGTTTAGTTTAGGTTTCCTCCTGTAGTAACACTGGATCAATAAGAGATTATCCTTTCTGGATCTGTAGAAAGAACAGTTTAGAACTGATAGGACTATCCCCCTAAGCTCAAATTTGAAGCTACAATTTCTTCCCTATTTTAGGAGATAACTTGCACAACGAAATCACACACGAACAGGCGACTGTTGGGAGTCAGTGCCCAAGACGTGGTCGTTCTGGATAATAAGACTAAAAGTGTTCTGAAGAAATGGGACCTCAAGAGCTTACTCGGTTGGAAATGTGACGAAAGTAACGGTTCGCTATTCCTGCTGTTCTCCGAGTCAAGTTTTCATTTTCTTTGTGAAAATAAAATCGAACGTGGACGGCTGCAGGATACTATTAAACAATGTGTCTATCAACGCAATTGCGAGGTAAGACAGTGCCTCATTTAGCATACATATAGTCTACTACTCTCTTTGTCGATGGACGAAACTGGTTCAGTCTAGGTTTTCTTCTTTAGTAAACTACTAACAAATCGATGGTAGTTCTAACTGCACCTCTCAAAAGGAGAACATCACAAGTTATAAAACTTAAAAAGATGGTTTAGTTTTCAATGACTTTTCCCTGAATTCACCGGTGGCGTAACCACTAACCAGCCTGGAAAATTAGAATGCAATTCACACAATAGATAATGAGATGATAAACCTCATTAATCTTCATTATAATCTTATTAACTATTGTTCGACGCGACCAAAATGCGACGTATTATAACCTAGGCCTTAGACTGAACTAAATCCTGCTATGCTACTAATATTTTGATGTTCTTTGACTGTGAAAACAACGAATTTCTAAGAAATACTGATAATGATAATTACTCCGGCGTCAGCGACGGAGTTGAAAATTCGCCTTGGTTTTGTTTTGTTGTTTTTTTTTTTTTTTATTTTTCGTCGTCGCAAGTCTGAAATGGCGGGAAACTTTCTAGTACTTAAAGTGTGTATGTGACTGTATTTATTTACGTCCCAGTCTTATCTCCCAAGAGTTGTGGTGCACAGCTTTGGCTAATTTTCCGATGCGCGATTCGATTTCGCTCGTATGATACGGCAATTCTTTCAAGAGGAACAAATAAACCGTTGTTTTCATGCTCTTCGATTAAGTTTAGATTGAATTGGAGTAAGAATATATTTAATACATGTAGATTCTGGTCCTATTTTAATAATATCGCTGCTATTTCGCCGTTTAACAAGATGATGTGGTCGTGTATGGGCGCGTTGACACGTCGTAGTTTGCACAGGATTGAAGATATAATATATAAGCGCAAATTCCAAAGGCTAAATGTGAGACAAAGCGAATGTATCATGCGGTTTGTTTATATTTTCGAACAATTGAACTTCTATATTTTTTAAAGTACGATGTGCTGCTGAATTTCGCGATCGAACATTTAGCTTCGTAAGGCATCTAAATGCGAATATGAATTGTATTGTTTATGTTCAGAAGCTCTATATTAAAGACTGGCACGTGCGCCGGAGTTAACGCCAGAACAGGCGTCTTGTTACATAAAATTTGCATTGCGAGACTACATCGTCGGGATGCCTCGCCCTTGTCCTTCCCCATGGAAACATTTGTCGTTTTAACATCAAAGGATTCACAAACAAATCCCCTCAATCCATTATTTTAACCATGTTCTCCAGGGTTTAAACGGAAAAGATTTTCTTCCTTGGACAAAAAGATCTGAAGAGAAGCGAAACTGGGGTGACAAAGCGATGGAGGAAGAAATCAATCATAGATTAGAGAATTTGTCGAAATCAACGAAAATATTTCAAAATCACGATGAATGGAAGTCGTTGAGCCTGTTGTACATGCGACCAGGGGTTGAAGGTCAGTATCATTCTGGTTACAACACTGTGTCTTTGGGGGGAGGGAGAGTAGCACAGTTTCCAGCTTGTATCCTTGGAGAAACTATGGCCCAGCGAACTTGATTATCTATCATGGGGTGGTTTGATAGGTTGAAACACCATCTGTGGCTAGTGATTTCGTAGTTAACTTTTCATAAAGGCTCAACAGTTAAACATTTTGAGATCTCATCATCTCAGATAGGCCGGTTTTAACCAACGTAATAAATGATTTCATTTCACTTATTTCTGTGTTTATACCTTGAACATCAGAGCCTCGCCACAGACGTCACTCCTCCCCGTCGCACAGAAATTCAGTGAAACGCAATGGAAAGAGGAACTCGGTGATGTACTCAAATGCAACAGTTGCTGCGGTGGATCAGGCGGTCAACAGTTTAGACGAGGAAGATGATGACGTTTGTGTACCAATTATGGCGTACAGTGTCGGTACTTTGGATCAACGTGATGGTGAAACATCCCATTTATCAAAATCTCAAGCCTGTGAGTGTTTCTAGCAGCCCTTTAGCGCGTAGTTTTAAGCTTTACAGGGCGGCATTCAATGACCCAATGGTTGTTCAAAGTCAGCTTTACTTAATCACGGATTAACGCAAATCTTCAAATCGGGCCAATCCAACTTCCCGGCGACTGTTTATATTAGAATTCCTCAAATACGTCAAATTAAGGGTTAAGATTAGGATTTAAATTAGGATTAGGCTTAAGTTAGAGTTAGAAAAAAAGGTTAGCGTTAGATTTAAGTTAGATTGGGATTAAGTTTAGGATTAGGTTTAAGTTTAAGGTTTTGAAAAAAATGGGGTTATTTTGTAGCCACAGTACAGAAGTCCTCGGTGACGACACAGTCGACATTTGGTCAGCAGTCCTTTCTGGGAAACACGTCAAGTTATCTCAACGATTCCAACATTCGAAAAGACCAGGTGTATTCGACAATTGATCCCATATGTTCACCAAAGCTGAAGATCTGCTTGTGTCCTCCTGATGCAGAATTTGTCCGCAGCGAATTTACGTAAGTGTAATTGAATCACGGACATTTTTCCTGGTCTCAAATCCTTCAGAACCAACTCGTAAAGGGGCCATGCTATATGCCTCTCCACAGAAATCACCATCTTCAACCCAAAAATGGTGATAATGGCTTATTGCGTAATTCAAACTATTCAAGGTTTACCAGGGGTTACCCTTTCCTCTCATTCGAAAATCCCGACTTTAGCAATATTCTGTATTACATACAATCATTTAGTAAAAATTCAAGCGCGTATATTCCTTGCCATCCAGTAAAACTGAGCTGGTGAAATAATTTTTTTCTGCTCTACCACGTAGACTTCTTGAGCTCCTCAGCTATCCCCGTGAGCTAGCGCGTCAGATCACGCTCATCGACCACGAGCTGTTTCGAAACATAACGACGGCAGACATCTTGCAGAGAGTTTCGGAAGGAACGAACAAGAAGCGGAAGAAAGGAGACGAGAATTCTCAAAGAACTACCGTCGAGTTGTTTTCTGATCGATTTAATCAGCTGAGTTCGTGGGTCGTGGCTACCTTGATCAAGGAAGAGTCGGATCAGGACACCGCTTACATGATGGTGCAGTTCATTGAGACTGCAAAGGTAGAAAATTATTGTCCATACCATACCATACCATACCGTACCATACCATACCATACCATACCATACCATACCATACCATACCATACCATACCGTGAATGAACGTACCATACCGTGAATGAACGTACAATTTTTTATTTTAATTCACTACACCACATTGCTATACTAGGCAGTCCATCACATTCAAACAATGATATTAATAGTATACCATATTATCTTCTACTAAAGTTAACCCCAATCTACTATATCCATCGTTCACCACAAGTCACTCTACTTTATATACCATCAACCCTAGTTACCCTACCTCAAACATACCACATGTTACCACACATAACACTGTAACCCCTTATTTTACATACCACGTGTTGTCGTGCATTGCACCATGACACCCCAATCTACCATGCTAAGCCCCATGTTACAACACAATACATTATAACCCTTATTTAACCCTATTTTACCACGTGTGACCACACATAATAGCATAACCCCCGTTCCACCATACTATGCCACATGCGAGCATACCTTACCTTGCCATATCTTCACCCCTATTTTACAATATACAACATTTTATCACCACTAATGCACCACCACGAATTCCACCATATTTTACCATGTCATACCATATACCATATGGTGCAGTACCACTCTCTACCCCACTGGAAAACCAAACCCCACTTATATCCAATTCCCTTATACAGCAATGTCTAGAGCTTCGCAATTACAATGCAGTGATGGCCATTGGTGTGGGCGCCCTGTGCAGCGCTCCTGCACGGCGATTACGTAAGGCCATCCCTGACCTCGTACCTAAACGATACCTGGACCAACTCCACATCATGGAGGTCCTCATGGACTCCAGAGACAACTACAAAAAATATCGGGAATCTTTAAAAATATGTCCAAGTCCCGCCGTTCCGTACTTCGGTAAGCTTACGGCGATGTTGTTGTTGTATTCTTGAAATCGTTTTTCGTCTTTTGATAGATGTGAACGAGTAATTAGTTACGAAAGTTCTGATGTACAAGTGCTCTTATTTCGACATCCGAACAAAATAACTTGTTCACATCTGTCAAAAGATGGCATATATAAAGGACATTTTTCACAGTTCTTTCTGTGTTTTTTCGCAGGCGTATATTTGAAGGATCTTATTTACATCTCGGAAGGTAATCCGGATTACCTCAATGGCGGCATGGTAAATCTCGCCAAACGGCGGCTGTTGTATGCAGTTCTGCACCAAATTCGAAGATTTCAAGTCAAGTCATACAACTTTGAACAGGTATTTTCCAAAGTTGTTTCTGTATTTCTCAAAGCAATCTATGTTCCTAGTTCCGACAGATACAAAACTAGCTGTTTCAAAACTATTGCACCTGTATTTCATTTCACAAAGCGAGTGTGTTTTAGCCGTGTGATTTGCGTACGTCTAACAAGAGTTTATCCTGGCAGGTCTCTGAGATTCAAGAGTTCCTCCTAAACACAGAGAGGTATTCTGACGAAGAGCTCCATCGAATGTCCCGTAAACTGGACACGAGCTCGAGAAGGACTGTGTCCGAGGCAAGCCGCGAGGTGTCCATGTCTGTATCGGGCGTCTCGATCGCCTGAACGTGGAGGAATGGTGACCAGTCACATGACAAGCCCAGAACACCTCGATCAACCTCGAAGGATCTTCACAAAATGTAATTACGAGGCAAAAGCCGCCGTAGGCTAACCTTACTGCTAGATGGATATACGAAAGAGTGGAGTTTCAATTCATTAAAGAGAAGATTGCGAATAGGCTTTTTTTTGAGGAAATTTTCGCTCAAGAGTGTTAAACAGAGAAAAAACAAAATTGGCGAAATGCATACAGTTGCTGTATGGAGTTCAGATGTAATGAGATACGCGCGTGGCATCTTGGATCCTGTTCTGTAAATTGATGTGTTTTTAGCGAGAAAAACCTGGATTTGTTTTTTTTTCGGCGCTGTCGCAGTGGGAAATACAATATTCGTTGCACATCAGCTGTGTTGGGACTTTAACGCCGAATCCTGGATTTCGAAGTTGTTTCATATGCTTGGTGGTGTCCAAATTATGTCAGAACCTCAAAACCGTGTGAAAATATATATAGAGCATCGTTCGTTATTAGTTATTTGACTTATTTCTATGCAATAAACGCGTTTTACGGGTGTCTACGACATATGAAAAAATTTATAAAAATATTTATTATAGGATAGTCTATTATATTGTTCGTCAGCAGCAAGTGTTGATTCTAATTCGTAACGTAAAAACGTATTTTGTCATGCAAACATACAAGTTAGAATTTTGGTGGGTTTTCATATTAGCAAATAATATTTTCTATAATTTGAGGCGCGAGTGTCAAGGCTGCCCTTCGAGTGGCTAAGAGTCTTATCTGAAGATGGCACCACTGATGTTTTTATACTTGTGTAAAAATTAAAGCAATGATGGGCCCTTTTAACATTATACTAGTTTTGCAAGTGACGTTTTTGATAACGGAGACGGCATGAGTAACGTCAAAAGACTGGTTTAAGTATTGTGATTGGTGAACTGAAACTTTACAACTTTAATTGTGACTGTGATTGTTGAAAAACTTTACTTCCGGTCAACGTACGTGTTGTCAAAACCGTCGCTTGCTCACTACTGTCAATATCGGTTACATTGCAGTTAAATAATAAGACTTTGAATCATTGGCGCGCGTGAACGTAAAATTTGTGCCAGTTTTTACAAAGGCTCGTTTTAGCCATGTTGTGAAAACGGTGAGTGATAGAGCGCTATCGAAAGATAGATTCATTCATTGAAGAATTCCACATATTTGTTCTGCCGGAATACAGTATTTTACTGGAACGTCTTCTGCACAAGACGTTCGGCAAATTTTAAGTCGGACCTGTCGTGGGAATGCCTGAATAGTCACTTCCGGAATGAAAACCATCCCATAAACAATAGATTACATCGCCCGCTTCGTTTCCAAGCTATTGTTTTGCCGTTCACTCGAGCAAATTCAGGAAGTGTCTATTCGTTGTTCAAAAACACGAGTCTAATTTTTCAACTGGTTTCTTACAAACTTAATCCTGTTGTAGGATAAATAGATGTTTAACTTTCTCGAATTTCTTAATGGTCGCCATGAAGAAAAATGTAAACAAACCTAGTATTACTATTTACATGCACGCGTCAAATTCAACCTAGGCTAACCCGAGTTTTTGAACAACAAATTTGTGCAGCATTCATTCGGAAGTCTTCTAGTTTTGAAGTTAACAGTTAAAGGCTATCATGTATTCTATAGTCTCCAGAAGCTCGTGTTATAGAAATAGTGTAGCTAATTCTCTGCTTTAGTCAGAGCATATGTGGATATAAAAAGCGTCATCGCTTTAATATGAACATGTTAAATGTATATTTAAGCACCATCGCTGGAAAGATAGATATTTATTTTATTTAATAAAATTTGAGATCGCAATCCCCGTCTGCATGTGTAGTTTCGTGATTGTGGATTGTTTTGGAGTCACCAATTTTTAAACTACGTTATTAAAATATATAGCGACGCCTATAATAATAAGGTTGTCACGAAAAACATTCTTCTAAGGATTCAAACCAACGAATTACGACACGGACGAGAGGCAAAAACCCACAGCGCAGGGTTTGAGGTCGCGTACTTTCAACTGAATAAAATAGACAATTCCCTTTGTTCAAAAGGAACTGAGCGATTGTCTGCTGTTATTATCTAGTGCACGTTTAAAATACATCTTAACTCCCAAAGGGACAATTATTGATTCACTTTAGGCTGATTCTTCCAGATTACACATGGATACGCGTTGTATAAAACTCTTTAACTACACTTTGCATAGTTAAATCCTATTTACCTCAGTCTCAGAACTATACACAACTCAACTGAATTGGCCAATTCTCATTTTTCAACTACAGTTAAAACTTAAAAGTTAACTCATCTTTTATACGACAGCATGGACCCAGATATTCGACTTATTCTGTATTAAAGACAAAAGATAATGCTTTGCCTTTGTCTTTGAATTCAAGGTTGATTACCTCGGGATTTCTTCGACGTTTCTTCTCTTTTCACTTTTGCCGGCTAAGCGAGGTCGAGGAAGATAAGTTCGCCCGCTATTTGGTCGATTAACGCATGTAAAATCTTTATTTCGCGAGGAGCCTTGTAGCCTGTAGCTTAAAGCGTTTAAAGTAACTTGTAATAGCCGAAGACCGAAGTATAATTGCTAAAGATGTCACCAAATGACCACATGCAGTCGTTTGGGCAAGTGGTTGAAATATCGAGGTGCATGCTTCGAAATCCCGAGAAAGCGAATGTGAATATGTGATTCGGGACTCGGGAGCGCGCTGTTTTTTCGTGAGATCGTGTCAGACCATTATTGATCGCTTTGGTACAAAATGGAAGTAATTTGAAAGCTAGAAGTTTGATAGTTACCTAGGTGTAAAATGTAAGTGAAAAATTTCGAGTATTCTGCTAGTTGAGAATAAATATCATTGCTGATTGAAAATCGATCAGAATTTCAGCCCGATCAGGTCTTAAATATGTATAAATTCTGCTCGATTTGCCATCAACTATGGACTCTTGATATCTATCCCAGTTTATCGAGTGAAATGTCTAAGGTGATATGTGTAATTTACCCTACACAATAACCTAAGGTTGACTCTTGGCAGTTCTCTCCGTTTAGACAATAGACAGATCCATGGAGACCCAGAGCCAATACCTGAACTACAGGTGTCCCAAAAAAAACGAAAACTATTGAAATCACCCATAACAATGTAATTGTTAGAGTTTGAATGCCTAAGCACTCTGTTGGGACCCACAAGTGTGTAAATGTTTGCCATAAGCATTTTTATGCATGCATATGATGCAGTAAAATTTGCTCGTACGCGAAAATGATATTTATTAACAATATTTAAATGTGCATCTCAATCACCATGACCTTTGACATGTCCCCTTTCTCTAGCAACACAAAGCATCTAGCATTTCACTGTGTTGCATTAAATCCCCACGGGTTAAAATTCGTGCACACGGCATTCAAATTTTAACAATGAGTGATTTCAATAGTTTTCGTTTTTTTTGGGACACCCTGTATGCTGTAAATGTTGAGCACAATTTCATCTTATATATAACAAGTAAACTTTTTCTAGCCCTAAAAAAGTTAAAATAAAGCTATATTTTTTTCAGAGGGACTGAATTTCGCAATAATGGGGACCGAATTTCCTAGAATTAAATGTAGATTTTACCAGAATCAAATTTCTTGTTACACATGTATCATTCAACTATAAATCCCCCCCCCGTGAAAATTTTGTAGTGTTTACGGGTCTTGAGTTGCGCGGTGATGTGACTAAAGTCAAGGAAACGACACGATGGGAAAAACAACATTCATAGTCTTTTCAACGTAGAACTACCACAATTTTTGAATAGCATTTGATTTTTCGTCTAAAAAAAACCTGTCAAATTTCACGTATTAAGTATTGTTAGTATGTTTATTTGACTTGTTCACGTGTCGCTCATATACAGATTGATAAATATAAGTTTGTATACACACACAAGCTTTTTAGTGGAGCTGTTGACAGAGTATATTTTCCTTGATTTTATAGCGTCTAGAGGTAGAAATTTCATATATTTATGTTTTAATGCATACACAAAAGGTATTTGGATCAGGCTATTTGAAATCTGCCGAGCTAATTTAGGTCACGAAAATCTCTGTTAACAAAGAAAGAGTTCTCATCCATTCAATCTTCAGTTTGTGGAATTATAGACCCCAATTCTAGACGGATATGCCTAGATTAATGATTAATTATTCTATAGCTCTTTGGCCTGAGGAAATAATACTTGTTTTGCTTTAAATTTTTCGAACATGCATGGTGGTTCAGTGTAGGTATTAAGTGTATTCTACAATAAGCTGTCGTGATTTGTGTCTGAACTACCTGAGAAAGATCTCTCAAACGTGGTGGTTAAGTGTAGGTAGTATTCTACAATAAGCTGTCGTGGTTTGTGTCTGAACTACCTGAGAAAGATATCTCAAACGTGGTGGTTCAGTGTAGGTAGTATTCTACAATAAGCTGTCGTGGTTTGTGTCTGAACTACCTGAGAAAGATATCTCAAACGTGGTGGTTCAGTGTAGGTAGTATTCTACAATAAGCTGTCGTGGTTTGTGTCTGAACTACCTGAGAAAGATATCTCAAACGTGGTGGTTCAGTGTAGGTAGTATTCTATAATAAACTGTTTTGGTTTGTGTCTGAACTACCTGAGAAAGATATCTCAAACGTGGTGGTTCAGTGTAGGTAGTATTCTACAATAAGCTGTCGTGGTTTGTGTCTGAACTACCTGAGAAAGATATCTCAAACGTGGTGGTCCAGTGTAAGTAGTATCAGTTCTACAATAAGCTGTCGTGGTTTGTGTCTGAACTACCTGAGAAAGATATCCCAAACGTGGTGGTCCAGTGTAACTAGCGCATCTCTAGTTTGTTAGAGAGAAGCGAACATTTCATGATTTCCATGCTGACTCCATGGTGACTGCACCATTAATCATTTGCCTCGTTTGAAGATATTCGCATCGCAAATGACACGCGTAAAATATAGGCGTCTCGAGTAGTGGGATGATAATTAATTGTACATGCAAGTATTTCGTGTAAACTCATTTTATTTGATAACAATAAACAACTTATGTCAATTCGTTTAATTTTTAATAACATTGTTTTTCTTTCATTTAACGATGTAGGACTCCTTCAGATGGCCAAATATAGAAATATCACGCAACTTTGGACGACAATTCAGAAAGAGGTATGTATGCCCTGATTTCAAAAATCTACCTTCATCCTGCATTAACCATACTTCCAACTATAAAAACAATGAATCTGCACGAATTTGATTCGAACTGTAGTTTAGGTTTCCTCCTGTAGTAACACTGGATCAATAAGAGATGATCCTTACTGAACCTCTAGGAAGAACAGTTTAGAACTGATGGAGCTATCCAGTATAAATAAAGTTAGTTTAGTTTAGGTTTCCTCATGTAGTAACACTGGATAAATAAGAGATGATCCTTACTGGACCTCTGGGAAGAACAGTTTAGAACTGATGGAGCTATCCAGTATAAATAAAGTTAGTTTAGTTTAGGTTTCCTCCTGTAGTAACACTGCATGGATCAATATAAGAGATGATCCTTGCTGGACCTCTAGGAAGAACAGTTTAGAACTGATAGGAACTGGCTTGTCATTTTAAAAATGAATACAGAGAATGATGTATAGTCTAATTTTTCTCTTGAGACAACAGCGGGCTGCCATGAAAAATGTTTTCACCTTGTTTTGCAATCCAAATTCGTTGCACCTACGCGATACACCTCTGCAAAATTTTCTTCGTGTGAACTGCAATAAAATGCAACAAAATTGACGCCGTTTATTATTGTCATGTATTTAATAGATCATAAACAAGCCAGTTAAGACAGGTAAATACGCTCACAGCCTCACAGCCGTATTAATGGACAGGCCCGTTCGAATTTGAACCTTAATTTCACTTTATGAATAGTAATAACTCAAATAGCGTTGATTAGAGGTGATTTTCGGCCATTAAAATTGTCCTGAACGATGGCGCGGCTTTGTCTTAATCCTCTTTGTGACGGTCGGTGTTTACAATGATGTTTTTCACCGAAGACATCCTACGCTTTGTTTGTCAAACAAACGTGAGAACTTTACCAGATTATTAATTTTACTCTATTAATGATACCTTACTAACTAGTGTGCTCTGTATTAAAAACATTCATTAATCACAACACTTCCTCCTGATCAGGAAAGACTTTGACAGTCCTGTGAACATCGGCTATAGATATATGAAATAAAACGAAAACGTCCACAAATGAATAAACTGTATTTTCTTAGCCTTTTTCTACTCCTAACCGGTGATGCCTTTGGAAGGAGTTTTTCGAAAGGTAACGTACAGTTTGTTGAAACAGTTTTAGTATAATTTTATTACAGCTTAGTGTAGAGAATTCTGTTAAGAAATTTGTCTACTGCGTTGATAAACACATTTAAGGTCTGTGTTACATTCAGCAGAAAAGTTTCGGATAAGGAATTGACTTAAATGGCAGCTGTGTTTGGTGCTGAAAGTATGCTTCGAAAGAAGAGTTGTCTAGTTGTGTCCAATGACTTTGAAGTTATTAGGTAGTCGACATTTCAAGTCGACTGGTCTGAACAGTAAAGATCACTGCTTAAAACAGGCTTAGATTGAAAAAAAACGGCATGTTTATAATTTGTATTTGCCAACATGGCTGTTACAAAAACCCTAGCTGATAGGACGTTTTATACGTCTGCAAAGAGAGTTAAAACTTTCTGCATTATCCACGAATGATATCTATAGAAGTCTGTATAATATCTATACAGCAGTGTTAAATTTGATCTCGCTGGTCTATGAAGCATTGTGTGTACCAGTTTGTAGAACCAAGGAATCATTTCAAGGAATCTTGGGTTTTTTTCCACAGATTTCGTAGAAGAGGACGGGGAAGACGTGGCAGCCATGGACAAAATTGTTGAAATCAATACTAGTGAGTAAATAACGATTGCTTCGTCATCACCTTCCGGATGTGATCATCATCATAATCATCATCATTAAAACATGATTATTCGCATATTATCTTCGATTATCATAACTGGGAAAAACCCGTTACATTATGCTAAAATTGCAATTTATTATACTTATTATATCAACACTCAAGTCAAACGATCGGCCACAGTTCTCAACTAATATGTCTCTATTCACTAGAGCAAGGTTTGTACAAGCTTTTTGAAGGCGATGTGAGACTAAGAGACGGTGATCTTAAAAACAGAAACGGCGACACGAACAAGAAGAGAAACGCTTTGAGAGACAGATCTAAGCTTTGGCCAACTCGTGTCATACCGTACGAAATATCAAATGACTTTAGTGAGTATATATTGTCACTTGATCGCCTGGAATGGACAGAAGTCGTGGATACTTGGCTTTTGTTCCCCAGAGAGTACTGACTGCTATTACAAGGAGAAGTTTCGTTTTTACCAATGAAGAAATTTGTAGTATTAACCATTTAAGCATTCTGATTGGCTTAACCTGAAAAATATAGACAAATTTGCCGTTTAAGCCAAAGCAAATGCCTTTCCCCCTCGTAATTCTGCATGCTTTTTATTGAAGGGACAATGATTAGCGTAGTAATTTCCCGGGCTACTAACTGAATTGAATACATGTAATTTTTTCAGGCCCGGATGTACACACCAAAATACAGGATGCTTTGGAGTACTTTCACAAACATTCCTGCCTTAGATTTACAGTGAGATCGACAGAGAAAAACTGGATCAACTTCTTCAGCGGTTCTGGGTGAATATTTTAAGGCCCTGTTACACTGTGCAATTTTTCTTGCAACTTGCAAATGCAATTCTTCTTTTGAGAGATGTATATTTGCAGCCCAGAAACGTTTGTGCTTATTACACTCTATTCTTATCCTTTTTTAGATCCCTCTTCACTAATTTACATCTCTTAACATGTAGAATTGCTTTGCAAGTTGCAAGAAACCCGGAAGAAAAAACTAACCGGCAACTGTGCTACGATTATGTTCTCAATTGACATTTTCTCAATTTCTGTCGTAGGTGCTGGTCGTTCATTGGTCGCGATTATTTGAGCCAGGCCCCAAAGCATATCGCTCGGTTCAGGCTGTTACAGTCGAGGAGTAATCATCCACGAAATACTTCATGCTCTTGGGTTTTACCACGAGCAGTCCAGACCAGATAGAGATCAGTATGTGGAAATATTCTGGGAAAATATTATCGAAAGTAAGGAATTCGGGAGATATGGAAGCTTATAGAGTCTGTGAAACACATTATTGGAACTTGTAGACGTTGAATATCGAAATTTCTCGAAAATTTCCAACTTTCATCAGCAGAGGTGCTCAGTTCGAATATACGAATAAATCGCACCAGAGGACAGCGCTCCAACCAATTTAACAACCCCCGCCCCCACCCGTAGAAAAGTGTGCCTCTCCCCCCTCCCCTAAATGGTCGAAGACAAGGTCATCCAAATAACTCTAATTATTCTGGGAGTTGCTACGCGCCTAAGAAAGACGAAGCTGATCTCGCATATGACTTGACGATCAGTTGAAATTTGTGTTTTCTCGTTACTAAGAAAGACATTCTTTTGTGTAGAGGAATCTCATAATTTCAACAAATACAGCCACGAGTATTTGGATGTTCTCGGCGTTCAATATGACTACGAGTCTGTGATGCATTACGGAACGAAAGCATTTACAAAGAATGGGAGAGCCACCATTAAGGCGATCTCTGGTGCGAGCATTGGACAGCGAGATGGCTTCAGTAAAATTGACTTAATCAAACTTAATTCATTGTATAATTGCCACAGTAAGTATTGGAGATTTTTAGCAAGCTTATTCTAGCATTTCAACGTATTTTATTAAATTTCAAGTTTATAATGTTCTTGCAACTTCGCGCATTACAAATAAACAAGGTGAAGATGTTTCTACAAATTGTTGAATAGAATTTCCAGTTTGCTGCAAGATTAAAATTTGTTACTAACAGCTTCTTGGCAGTTCCTCCATGTTATTTGATCAATAAGGAGCAGTCCAACTTTCTTAAATGAATATCACGTCTTTTCAAATAGTTAATGGCGTTGGGTTTAGCGAGTGGTCCAGTTTTTCGCCTTGCAGCAAAGATTGTGTTAAGAAAAGGCAAAGATATTGTTTCTCTTCAAACCACGCTGACTGTCCTGGAGCATCGTCGCATGGCGTGGAATCTCAATGGCAGAATTGCACGAACGAGGAATGTTACGGTAGGTCCTTTACTTCGAGCACCTAAATTTATCGGATATCATGACATACGTAGATCAGTGGCTGAGATCGTTGTCTTTCCCTCATTCCCTGTCGTGACTCGTGATCTTTCACGGGAACACAAAAATTGATTTTCAATGATAGGGGGGACCTTCACAGGGCCGGATTAACCTTTCGTGGGGACTCACCTTCATCGTGTAAAAATACGAACGCCTTCCCCTCTCCCCCACGGGCCTCTACGCTTATGACAGAACCAGTGACACATACTATAACTAGATATAATTGCATGAGTCATTGACTAGAACGCAAGCAATTACCTAACCCCACAAGCCAGGGTTTTCTACCTTCGATCCACGGCCCACGTTGGCTTTCGAGGTTGCCAATGGCTTCCAGGAATACAACCAAGGAGCAGCGTGGCAGCGTCTTCAAACAACTTAGCATCAAATGTGGTATAACAACTGCCAAAATAGACAAAACACTTCTCGACTTTCGTCTTCTGACGAAGGCCCTCAGGTCGAAAGGTCGAGAAGTGTTTTGTCTATTTTGGCAGTTGTTATACCACATTCGATGCTAAGTTCAAGAAATACAACCTCTGAGCTCGTCTATCCTTGTTTAAACGCTTTTATTTTCTCGTTTCAGCTCCTGTTGCTGGTCATTGGGGTCGCTGGTCCTCTTGGACAGAATGCGATGAAAATTGCAAGCGTCATCGATCTAGAAAATGTTCAGATCCTGCCCCGATGCATGGTGGGAAAGACTGCCCAGGGGTTTCGAAAGAAGAAAAAGATTGCTACGCCAACAGTACATGCAACCCAGGTTTGTTTCTTGGATAAGTTCATTTAAACTTGGTTAGACAACATCTTGTCTCTGCCTGCCCATATTTTTTCGCCCTCAGGCGAAGTCTCGTTAAACTAATGATGGAATATTCTTTTATTTCTTTGTAGATAACTGTGATTTTACGCGCGGTAGTTACTGTCATTGGACCCGTTATAAAAACATGGATTATTTCTGGCAAGCACATAAAGGATCAACACCAACCAGGAGCACTGGTCCAAATCAAGACCATACTACTGGCACGGGTAAGAAATTTCAGGGATACATCATCATCATTGATCTCTACTAATCGGCCATCTCTATCCCTCACTTTCCATGGTTACCCATCATTATCAAACGTTATTCATTATTGTCTATCGTTACTTATCGGTGCACCTGATCCTCACTATCCACTATTATCCCACAAATATCCATGATTATCCACTATTATGCAAGAGTATCCACCATTATCCATAATAACCATTATCGTCATATTTCCAGGCCATTACATTTTTACCGAAGCCAGCTTCCCTGCCAAGGAGAACGACACAGCACTCCTAACAAGCAAACTGTTTCCACCCTCGCAATGTCGTTGCATTTCCTGGTACTATCACATGTATGGCCGCTCAATGGGAGAACTCAGCGTGTACATTAAAGACTCTGTGGGTTCTAAGAGGATAATATGGGATAAGAAAGGTGATCAGGCAAACAGATGGATATTAGGTAGCGCAACAATATCTAACGTGTCTACGACTAGTTACCAGGTTTGTATGATATTTTCGTTTTAGTTGATAATTTTTTTACTCTTCAACATTACTTTTGGGCCATCCATGGAAGTATCGCAATGGCTTACACCGGATTTCGAAAGAAATGCTCTAATTGGACTGTTTTTAGTTGCATACAGTCATTTCAATCCAGTTAAAGAGCAGCTGTGAAAATGAAGCTGATAAGAATCTTTTTCTAAAATATTTGAATTGTCCATGTATTGAAATACATCGATCGATACAATTTCGTAGGAATAGTTTGTGCTTTGATTAGTTTGTGCTTTGATTAGTTTGTTCATGCATGAGGGTACACAACTTTGTAGGAAGGTATAGGAATAACAGGTCACCATTCTAAACCAGGAGAGACACAGGAGGGTTGGGGGCCCCTCCCTGGCCCAAAAGTAAATTTGTTCCGCCGTCCGTTGATTTAGACCCAATCTTGTAGTCCCAGGTAGCAATTTTATTTTGGAGTAAATATGAGGCAATGACCAAAATCATCCAATATCATTCGATACTTTCCAAGCATCTTTGATCTTCGAATGTTTATTTGAAACGGTTTTATTCCTGTGTGGAAAAACTACTGCTTGTTCACATTCTTACGTCACAAATTTTCATTTAGGTGGAATTTGAGGCAATTCGTGGCCGATCTTTTTATTCTGACATGGCTTTGGATGACATCCATTTCAAGGAAATGCCCTGTGGTAAGTCGCTACACTCTGGGATAAACATGATCATTTTAGTTCATCGATGGTCCTCAAATTAATGTACATCTCTGAATGACTCTGAAACTACTTAAGGGTCCCCGACTGGTTCTTCCGATAGATGAAGGGTCTTTGATAAGACCAACAATGCCTTGATCCTTCAATAAAACATGATTCTCGCGATGGTAGAAATTGGAATCATTTTTTAATGCTAACAGTGGTTTTGCATTTGAAACATTGATTCAACGAGAATGCGAGTTGGCAAACAAAGGTTAATTTTTCTGCATGAGAGATTTTTTTTTATGAACTATATCAATGCTTGGTCAAACGTCAACAAGAGTGCTATGCGATTTAAACCGAGTTGACTGGCCATTGATCAGAATTTAGGACAACAGATAACAACCGACTTTCACTGTATTTTTTAAATATAAAATTAAGTACACATCAATGACTTTAGTGTCCATTAACAAAGATAAATATTTAAGTGAACTTTCTACAGTAAAGAGGGGCTCATGTTTTCAAACAAAGATACTTTGTTCCAGCAAGCTTATCTTAAACGAGCTTTACAAAAGCTCTTTGTTCAAATGACAATTGTTCGGTTTTTGAAATCAACACACAAGGCAAACGTCAAACACAGCTCTTCATATATATTTAGGTGTACAACACTTGGGGTGTTTTAACGATCGTTATAAAAGAGCTTTGCCAGACTTGATTGCGAATCTCCGGGATAAAATAGACTGGTATGACATGCAAAAGACCGTCAGAGAATGCGCCTGTGTTGCTTATGACAAAGGATACAAGGTATTTATAAAATTATTAAAATACCAGACCAGTGCAAGGCTTTCATGTTTGTCTCAGGCCTCAATAAAGTCAATTATAACTGGACCATCCACAACATGGATATTTTGAACCAATTCCTCTCATATTTACAGTAACAAGTACGATCGTACTATAGGGACCAGGAACTGCGTAACCGAGTTTAATTTCTGAACTGCATTGTATTTATAACAATGGAGAGGACAATGTATTTCTAATCGTTTCCGTTTACTTATATATAGGCTGAATATTAATGATATGTATATATTATTTGCTGCAAATATATCAAGAATTGCTTGTAACTTGCTTCAAAGGTCAAAAGTAAAAATTCGAACTCCGTCAATCGATGCGGAATTATGCTTAGAATAATTGTGCCAAGTTTCATTCCGATCAAACAAGTAATGAAAGAGCCTTAGGGTTTTTTTAAAGAGCGTCGCCCCCTAACAACAACAACAACAACAACAACAACAACAAGATTAGCAGCGGTTAGGGACCAGTTCCTGGTCCAATAATACAGCATAGCGTTAAGCTAATATGAATTTCGCTTCCATTTTTCAATGAACAAGCATTGATTATGTTGTTATTTAGTATTTTGCTGTGCAGTTTTACGGAGAGTGTTGGGGCGCAAGAAGTATGATTGAATATGACAAATATGGTGCTTCCAACGACTGCTGGTCTGGTGTCGGAAAAGATTTCACGAATTATATTTATAAATTCACGCAATAAGATACGTTTTATTTTCATTCTATCTATATCTTAACATTTCCAATATTTTAGGATTAAGCCACTAGTATGTATGAAGTTGCATGACAAAAGTCACAAAGATTGGAAAGAAAAAGGTTTGCGTCCGTGCAAATCTATTCTTATAGAGAGTTTACCGTGTAGTATTGTATATATATTTATTTTAATTTTGAATAGAAATAGCCCACTATTGCATTTAATGATTATTTGAAATGAATAAGAATAATTGACATCTATTATTATTAGCACTGATATCAAAGCGAGTATCATATTTCTAATGCAGAAATCACTCTAACACAAACATATCTCTAATACAAACATCTCTCTAACAGAGACATTTCTCTAATACAGACATCTCTCTGATACAGACATCTCTCTAATACAGACATCTCTCTAATACAGACATCTCTCTGATACAGACATCTTTCTAATACAGGCATCTCTCTAATACAAACATCTCTCTGATACAGACATCTTTCTAATACAGGCATCTCTCTAATACAAACATCTCTCTAATACAGACATCTCTCTAATACAAACATCTCTCTGATACAGACATCTTTCTAATACAGGCATCTCTCTAATACAAACATCTCTCTAATACAGACATCTCTCTAATACAGACATCTCTCTAATACAGACATCTCTCTGATACAGACATCTCTCTAATACAGACATTTCTCTAATACATGCAAACGTCTCTCTAATGCAGACATCTCTCTAATACAAACATATCTCTATTACAAACACCCTATTTCTACACTACAGACATTTTAACTTTTGATTGATGTGAACGAGGAAATAGTAATGACGTAATGATGTATGCGTGTTCTTATCTGAACGTCCATAACTTATCTACTTGTTTGCATCTATCAAAAGAAGAAAACTTGGTCGTGATACAGACATCTCTCCAATACAAACATCTCTCTGACATGACTGCACAATTCGTCAAGACAAGTTGAAATTCATCCCCAGTTATTGACCCGAATTATTAAAAAGGACAAGCGTGCATTTATTGAGTTCATTCAATCGAGCCAAGCACAAACGAGAACTCTTGGCTGAGTTAAAACTTCAAGTTGACTTCAAAAGACGGACAAGAAAATCATGTATCACCACACTTAAACCTGAACCTAATCACACCTGATCTCTACCAGTCGAGATGCAGAATTTGTGAAGGTACGTTCGGTGAACTGTTATTATTTTATCTCTGTTCTGGCATTACACCAGTTTTCCCACAAGACTTGATAAGTGAGAGGCGAGATTGCTCAACTAATAGTGCTCAAATCTTTCAACCTTTGTAGATAACTGTCATTTCACGCTGGAAATACTGTCAGTGGGTCTGTAAATAAGGATGAAATGCAATTGAAAACATAAAAGGTCCATCAGAAAAAGAACTGGTACCAATCAATACCATATTACTACAACGGGTAAGTAATACAGGTGATCCGTCATCACAATTTCTCATTATTAATCATCACACCAGATATCGCCTTTATTCAATTCGCGTCATAATCGTTATCCATCGTTGTCCATAATTGTCCACCGTTATCAATCCATCATACATTATAATGCATAGCTATTTGTTGTGATCCATCATTATCATTCAATGTGTATACATTATTATCCCTGAACATCAATTATCATCATTTTGGATATATAAGTTCGATACACGTTTCTTCCAGCGTTTCAATTTCTAACTAAAGGAAATTTCCTTAGAAAAGTGCTCCACTATGGGGGAGAGGGTAATTATTAATTGCTTAATTGCATAAATTATACATTCTTTTCAAAAGATCTTTGTTTCTCTCTGCTCACCAATACCATCCCTGTGTGAGGAAAGCAATATGCAAATAAATTATGGAAGCCCTGGTTTCTTCTGAAGCGATCATCCGGCGAATCGATATTTATAACTAGTAGTAATCACAGATTAGTGATGTGCGTTCGGAATGTTTTGATTTCGGTTACCGATGATGGGGCTTTAATTAACAACAAAATGTCAAAATAGAGCGAGCACATGGTCTCCAGTTACTATGACGACACATCAGAACGAGGCAAATCTCGATATGACACGGCTAGGAATCGTTCTCCTTCGTCGAAAGCGCATCGTCTGCGCACAAACTGCAGCAAAACTCGGCACAGCACATTGTATTATTATGCAGAACAATGAAATCATACCTTCGTAAACAGAAATTTTATCTTCAATGCAGTGCATGGAATAGGCATGCATTTTGTATGAAATGCATAAGTTTAAATTTCACAATTTGGATCAATAACGTGGATATATGTCAGCATGTAATATTGTAAGATGTTTTTGCAATGAGTCGTTGCTGTTGCCCTCAAATATTCAGCGTGTAACGTCTGCGCCTTCAACTGATGTGTACTTTTGGATAGATGGGAAAATACTGTTCTAAATTACGTTTCAAACGATCGTATATATGCGTCTGGAAGTTGCGCCGAGTTTAACTTATAATCCTCATTGGACCATTGTTTGTCATATGGCAATAACACTTTTGATTTGTATGCACATCTACGCTAATTCTTGTTGCAGCAACTGACTTTGGCAAATTGTAACATTGATAGCGTCGGTGAGAGGATCATATACTAGTTAAGTCTTTTGTATTTATATCATAATGAAATTGTTAATTTGAGCAAGGAAGCAAATAATCCAGAGTATGTTGGAACTGTGCAGCACAATGATGCACGCCATTTGTAAGGCCGTAAAATTCTGTAAAACATAGACGTATACACACAGGAATTGCAATAAACCAGTTCGGTTTATGCCACATCTAGGTGGGCCAACCGCTTCTCACACAGTGCCCTAAAATAATAATCATTTTTATATTGTAAATCTGTATAAAACCGACTGCTTTATTCTAATTACAGTCTAGCAATGTATAAATAAGCTATACATATTCGTAATTTTAAAGTTTAAACGAAAAAATGACTAAAAAACCTGTTATTATTAAATAACCAAATTCTACTTTTGAATGATTGAACACAGTTGAATGTGAGGCCGAATACAAGGCCGAATTGAGGCCGAATCTGAGGTCGAATCCGCGGCTAACTTCACACCTTCATATCTCGCCTGTTTCTCATGTGATGAAGTTCCCGGAAGAACACGTAGATAAAAACATCGTTAGGAATCATATGATTGAATGTGTTTGAGCATATTCACCAGTGTTTAGTCAAAATTTAACCTTAATTTGTGGCTTCAGTAAAAAAACTCGGTATGTCTTCAATTGTGACAAGTATTCTCAGTTCAACAGTTGGTTTATTATGGAATAAGGTCCGAGACTCGGCGTCAGACAAACTCAAAGACGGCGATGTAACCGATGCTGAAATTCGTAAGATTGTCGTACGCGAGTTAAATGATATCAAGTCTAAAATCGATGGCCTTTCTAGATCAACTTTACTCGCCAGTTATAATTTTTTAAAAGAAGGAGTAGAGTTACTCAGTGTTTCTCTTGATAAATCATATCCCGAGCAGAAAGCGAGCGAAACTCAGGACGAACCAGGTGAACCTTCGAGCGTTATTCAGTCTGGTATCTTAAACAAAGCAATAGAGCTTCCTCGCGCCATGGAAAAGCTTAAAATGAATTCGGACAGAGAGTTTGAAACTGCGAGAAAAAGATTCGAGGAAGCGCGCAAGACAGCAACAACTGCTTTCTGCAATGAGGCATTTAGTATCGAAGATCGAATTTTTGCCGCGAAGCTACGAATAGTTTCAGAAATACTGGAACATGTCGATAGTCCTGAGACCGCAATCACTGGGTGTTTGTTGTTTTTGAAGAAGCTTCATAGCTTACCAGCCATTCAAGAGATATTCTCGGTGTATTTGAACGGTGGAGTCAAATCGTTGTTGAATAGAACTCAACGATTGGAGAACGTCAAGTCGGTTATGTTAATCAACTATGTGTTGTTTCAATATGTTTGGGAATTCACGAACCCGGAGCCACGAACCCGGAGCTGAATATCTTGTCATAGACGAGCTTGACTTTTGGCGGGAACGCTTGCGGCTTCGTACTAACCCGGACAACAGCTCGCCAAGTGAATTAAATCCCTCTTTTATGTTTTCTGATAAGGCCTCGAATTGCCCATCCATGGCTGACTTAAGCTCATTTCCATTTCCTGCTGATTCTTGCGCGATTTCCTCGACTACTTGCTCGTTGAGCAGTTCGAGTTCGCCTTCACTGTCTGCCATGTATTCGACCTACACGGCGACGAAATATAATAAATCCACGAACAAGCGACCAAATTTTTGGTGAAACTTGCTCCTAACGTGTTCTTTTCGCTTTTTATCGTTCTATCAATGACTAATTCAAATGAATATTCAGTATTTTAGCAAAAATTGTGGACACCGAATTTTCCGTGTCCCAACCGAACGCCGAATTTAAGTACGCACTGAATGCTGGGTACTTGCTACGCAATCTCATGTGATTTCCTTGTGACGTAGCATAACAAGAAAATAGAATTACAGGATGAACATGCCACAAGATTGTGAGGAATTCAACGCAAGAATGAATCTGCTTTGAAATATTGTCTTGTGTTTTGTCAAGTTTAGCCTCGCTTGGAGTAAAGAAACTCGGTATGTCTGCAATTGTGACAAGTATTCTCAGTTCAGCACTTGATTTATTATTGAATAAGGTCAGAGACAGAGTCAAAGACAGCGAGTTGAATGTCGATGGCCTTTCCCGATCAACTTTACGCGCCAGTTATAATTTCCTAGAAGAAGGAGTTGAGTTACTCAGTGTTTCTCTTGATGAATCAAATCACGAGCAGAAAGCGAGCGAAACTCAGGACGAACCAGGTGAACCTTCGAGCGTTATTCAGTCTGGTATCTTAAACCAAGCAATAGAGCTTCCTCGCGCCATAGAAAAGCTTAAAATCAACTTGGACACAGAGTTTGAAAATACGAGGGAAAGATTCAAGGAAGCGCGCAAGACAGCAACCACTGCTTTCTGGAATGAGGCATTTAGTATCGAAGATCGAATTTTTGCTGCGAAGCTACGAATAGTTTCAGAAATACTGGAACATGTCGATAGTCCTGAGACCGCAATCAAAGGGTGTTTGTTGTTTTTGAAGAAGCTTCATAGCTTACCAGCCATTCAAGAGATATTCTCGGTGTATTTGAACGGTGGAGTCAAATCGTTGTTGAATAGAACTCAACGATTGGAGAACGTC